TTATTAATAAATTAGAAGCATTTTAAATAAATTCACTAAAGCATGTTACAAACTAATACCAATATAAGTCATTTGGAAAGAAAGAAAGAAAGAAAGAAAGAAAGAAAGAAAGAAAGAAAGAAAGAAAGAAAGAAAGAAAGAAAGAAAGAAAGAAAGAAAAGCTTCATTAGTGCTTAGCTGGACGTCTGAACTGTTTCTAAATTATTACCAAAGTAATTAACAAATTGTTATATATGTTATATAAATTGTTCTATATTTTATTGTTATAAAGTTATTTGTATATTCCTCTTATTTTGCCTTCTATTTGAGAAATTATTTGTTGATCTGTGTAAAGCCACCTATGGTGTGTGGATTTCTATGAAGGTGACATTTGTAGCAGAAGCGATGCTTTTCGAATCTTTGAATCAGTTGAGCCGAATGCTTGTAATGATTCATTGTTTCGAAATTCGGCGTGCTGAGGACATCTGCTGGTTAAGATCTGTAAATACTACAAAAACACAGCTCGGAGTTTTACAAAGATTGAAAGTGTTTTCGTCACACAGTAACAGTGCGATTAAATATAATCTATATGTAGTATAATATGTAGGTTTTAATCAATTTGTAGCACAAATCTGTAACATCAACGCTGTTTGATTGAACGACACTTACAAACAACGTGTTATGACTGGCTACCATTAATAACAGTAGCATACTTGGATTAAACGGGATATTTGTGAATATAAACTGACAGTTTTAACAGGTTTGTGATAGATTTAGATTTTACATTTACGTAATATAAATTTATCATCAATAAAATCAATATAAATCTATTTCATACCTTTTGATAGACTAAATTAATATTGCTGGTTTTGTTTTTCACACAAAAAAGGTTCATTATTTTTGCCCTGATATTTTTCCACATGAGATTAAGGCTGAGCAAAGACAATAATTCATGCTGAATGCATGTGTCTGTTTTAAATGAAATCTCCAATATACAAATATGATTGTTCAAACTGCGTGGACGACGTAGAATGGTATAACTTATTTATTTATTGGTGAGGCAGTGGCGCAGTAGGTAGTGCTGTCGCCTCACAGCAAGAAGGTCACTGGTTCGAACCTCGGTTCAGTTGGCGTTTCTGTGTGGAGTTTGCATGTTCTCCCTGCCTTCGCGTGGGTTTCCTCCAGGTGCTCCGGTTTCGCCCACAGTCCAAAGACATGTGGTACAGGTGAATTGGGTAGGCTAAATTGTCCGTAGTGTATGAGTGTGTCTGAATGTGTGTGTGGATGTTTCCCAGAGATGGGTTGCGGCTGGAAGGGTATCTGCTGCGTAAAAACTTGCTGGATAAGTTGGCGGTTCATTCAGCTGTGGCGACCTCGGATTAATAAAGGGATTAAGCCGGATAAGAAAATGAATGAATGAATGTTATTTATTTAAATATACAAATCAAAAATTTGAGATTACTATGTAAATATTTTGGCTTATGTAACCATAGCATGTACGTTTACATCTACTCTGGGTGGTTTTGAGTCTTAATTTGGCCATAACATTTTCTGTTTCAGATTGCAGAATACTTTTTGCTGACAAATCTTATTTTGAAACGTATTTAAAAAAACAACAACAATCCACTCTGCGCAAAATGACTAGCCTTTTGTCATGTTCAGGATGAAAACATCCACTGAATTAAACTGCTGTAAAAATGCATCAGTTACATATTTTTCCTTTTTTTTTTTTGTGGCATAAATCTGTAAATCAATCTCAGTCCTGATCAAAACTACTAAATATTTTTAAGAATTACAGGATTTTAACTCTTTAATAGTCAAATTCATAAATGATGTCACTGATTTGGAGAAAAAAATCACACCAAAATGGCTTAATTTCAACATAAAAAGTAATTGTAGACTGGATTTTTTTTTTACGTTTTATCAAAGTCTAGGACTGTGTGACAGCTCTATTTTAAAAAAAAATAATATTGATGTAAGTCTCATATTAATAACTATAAAATATTTAAATTATTTCACTAGTGATTCATTAAGGTACATTAATAGATACCAGATAAATAATATTTTAAAATGTTATTTTCATTGTTGAAGTTTAAAACTCTGGGTGTGCGACAAGGTGAAAACAGTGGTTTTGACACCTAAAAGGAAGTTGAATATTATGAAAGAATATAAAAGAAAGGTAGTCATTTTTTAAGTAGATTTTTTGTTAGTTTGACAAAGAAAGAGGAATTTGAACAGAATTATAGATATTTTTGAATATATGATCAAAGGACATAAAAGTGCCCATAGTTAAAGAATTACCCATGTATTATTAAAGGAATCTAATGATGAAGATGATTAAAAATGGTAAAATAGGAAAGGTATGATGACATTTTAATAAATGGCATAAGCATAAAATATGTCTGATGTAAGAAGAGATAAGTAAGAGAAGAAATAAGTTAAAGTAATAGACGAATGATAATGAAGTGGGAAAATAATAAGCTTGTGCTTCATCCCGCTACATTTTATAAGATATTAATAAGATATTTTATATATGATATTTCTGTTCAAAAATCAATCAAATTTACTCACCACTTACTAGTTCCAGGCCTGTTTTGTGAACACAACAAAAAGAGATATTTTAAAGAAAGCTGAAAACATGTAGACTTCAATAGAGAAAACAAATAAGGGAGGATTACAGGTATAGCATTCATCAAAATATCTTCTTTTGTGTTCAACAGAATAAAAAACTCAAAACTGTTTAATAGAGGTAAAGTTGGTTTTATAATCGCACATTCGTTCATTTAGCAGTCTCTATATTGTTTACCATGGTACTTTGAATATCCGCTCGGAATTAGCATGCAAGTATGACTTCTAAACAACATTAACTCTATCTAATTCAATGTGAACAATGTTGTTCTTTGATAGTCTTTGGCTGCTAATATGATTTCCCTATATAGAATTTGCAAATATTACTTTTCTGAAATGATATTATTAAGGAAAATGTCTGAATATCCGAATATAAAACCAACTTTACCTTTATAACTGTCTTAAAGCATTTGAGGGTGAGTAAACAGTGAGCAAATGTTCATTTTGGGTGAACTTTACCTTTTATTCTGGTAGTATTGACTGAAATCCACTCGAAGCATTGAATCGAAACAAAAGATTCGGACCTTTTATGAACTAGTGTTCGAACGCGTGAATCACTTATGACGTAGAGGGGAAAGATGGCGTCGGCCTACCTGACCCACAGCCAGAAGGTCCTGCGGCTTTACAAGAAATCACTGAGACACCTCGAGTCGTGGTGTGTTTACAGGTGAGCTCGCTAAATTTATAAGTTGCAGGTTAATTCCTTTGTATTGACTGTTTTTGTTTTGGGCCGCCCAGGGATGATAAAAACGTCAGTCGGTTTCCGTCTGTCCTGCCAATTCCTGTTTGTTGTTTAAACATAACAGTTACTCGTTCTCTGTCCTCTTGAACTATTGAATCTGTGTTAATTGCGAGCAAAATATGCTTTTGCGGTGCATTATTTCAACGGAGGTCGCTTTAATCAGATTATAATCAATCCAATGTGCAGTTTAGCTTCTCGTGTTCACGACAGACGTTCGCGTGTTTGTTTAACGTTAGCCGCTCAATCCTCGTGTATTATCGAAATCTACTTGTTTGTTCTATGAGATCTCAAATTGACCTTTTACGCTGTCATTTACTCGATTTGTCATTTTTGTGAAGTCCGTTTTTACTCAGGGTGACCACCAATATATTGACTCGTATCTCACTGAACGGCTTTCTGAATGTGTGCAATACGCGGTTTGTCCTGTGGTGGCAGTAATAGTCGTTCATATAGAGGTAAAGTTGTTTTTTATAGTTGGATATTCAGACATTTTCCTTAATAATATCACTTCAGAAAAGTACTCTTTGCAATTCAAAATAGGGAAGTAATATTAGCAGCCAATGACTATTAAAGTACAACATTGTTCATAGTCAATTAGATAATAATAGTGTTAATGTTGTTCTCCCAGACGAGCGTATGGCGGTTCACTTTATTGAGGTAAAGTTGGTTTTATATTCGCACATTCAGATTTTATCCCTAATAATATTATTTTTAGAAAAGTATTATTTGCTAATTCTAAATAGGGGAATCATATTAGCAGCCAATGACTGTCAAAGTACAGCATTGTTCACAGTCAAATAAATAGTCCTAATGTTGTTTTGAAGTCATTCCTACATTCAATTTGAGACCAAATATTCAAAGTACCATGGTAAATAATATAGGGACCATGTCATAAGTTGTCAAATGTTTAAAAAAAACGTTTAAAAATGAAGAAATGTGCGAAATTAAAACCAACTTTACCTCAGTTTTCACTTTATGGGATGAACTTTTGGATATGGTAAGGTTAACTGCAGTAAAAAGTTGGGGTAAAGTTGGATATATTCAATAAAATCATTTTTTGAATGGTGAAAATTTGTGACTCCCTATATTGTATTTTGAATATTCAATCCTTCCAGCTGCAACCCATCTCTGGGAAATTTTTCTGAATAGTCAATAGTTCAGTCGGAATATTTAAAGTAGTGTGGTAAACAATATAGGGATCATATCACAAGTTGTCATTGTTCTAAAATGAATGAATGTACGAATATAAAACCAACTTAACCTCAATAAAATACAACATGTTCTGCACATTTGTGACCCTGGATTAAATTGAGACACTGTACAAAGACAGCAATTGGTCTGTGAGACGAAACATTCTCAAAACAGTCCATGTGACTTCAGTCCAAGCAATTTTTCTGCATTCAAATAAAAAAGCTCAAAGAACCATTGTGTGGACCAGAAATCCTTCATTACTAAACTGATACTGATTGTTTTAATAAAGCTTTGCAATTAATTAAGTGGTTTGTAATTACCCTGCAGTGGTTATTTTAGTCCAAGTTTGAAAACAAAGTTTAAAAGGTAAAATTAAAATAGTATAAAATCATAATAAAAGAATTTATGTCGACTACTTATCATTGTAAGATTAGTCGATTATATAGACAAATTGTGGCAACCCTACAAAAATTGGTAAAAAAATAATTTGTTTGGCTAAACCTTTCACGTTTTATCAGGGCACGCTACACTGTGCTGCTGACTCCAATAGCAATACGTGCATTTAATTGCTTATAGTAAATACACACCCAAACACCTGACAAGAAAGAGAAGACGCTGGTAAACAAAGTTATGTACGCACATAAAACACTATTTTTATTTATTTATTTTTGTTTATTATGCTGCACACATGGAGCTTCGTTTGATTACAGTTGAACCACTGAAGTCAAAGTGAATGTTCTGACAATGATTTCATACCTTTTCTGGACGTTTCTGAACAGTTGATGCCTATGTAGGATGAGAGACCGCTCTTGGATTTCATCTAAAATATCTTTCTTTGTGCTGTGAAGAGGAATGAAGATCTCGGGTTCGGAGCAGAACAGAAGTTTCATGTTTAGGTGAACAATAATTTGAGCTGGTTTTAGTAATCTTGGTAACTTATGCTGTGTTTATGTGCTTTAGGAAGGCTGAAAAACAGTGTATATTTATTCGGCGCTGTGTTTTTGAGTCCACTAGATTTATTTTTAATTTGTCTACTCCAGATACTGTACCTGGATGATGAAGGCTTTCAGTGGTGCTTGAGACCGGTGTTGTCTGGTGTTGGCAAGAGGATGTCCTCTCGAGACACCAACAACAGGCACTTAGTTATAGTATCGCCCCTACAAGTGCAAGCTCCTAATGCGGCGCGAATGTCTGCTGAAGTTCAGATTTTCCAACTCGAGTGGTTAGTGCGTCAAACATACAAATCGCGCTGCTTCTTTCATGCGAATCACATCATTTGCGTCGCCTCATTCGTGCGAATCCCGCCGCTGATTGTCTATTCGCGTCTTTGCATTGACTTTACATGTAAATCACTCACGTTTGATGGTTTATCTGCGTCTGGTGTGAACGCAGCATTACAATTGCATTTATTCTAATTTCACCAAACATGCTAGAGTAGTAAAAACAAAGTATGGTTAATGTATTTTTAAATGTATGCCTTTCATCAGGTCATAATTTTATCAACTTTATCAGTCCATGTTCTGCATAACTAGTCACAATAAAAAAAAAAAAATCATAGATAAGCTGGGTTAATGTAAGTAGTTATGTGTTGTTATTTGGTTTAGTTTTGTAGAGAGGGACATATTAAAATGCAGAAAATAGTTTTTTTTAAATCATGAAAGCCATTTTGTTAGAAAAAGTACTAAATAGTTCATGAAGAGGAGAAGAATCTACTCATGTAATATTTTATGTTTTTCTAATATTATTTTGTTTGCACAATAGTATTTTTTTTCACAACAGCATTGACTTAATGTTAATGATTAACTGTTCATCCGAATTCAAGTGTTTGTCTTAACAATACCATTTCACACAGAGTTACTTTTCTCTTTCAGAGATAAATATCGCTTCAATGCATGTCTGCTTCGAGCACGCTTTGATGAGAACAAGGATGAGAAGGACATGGTGAAGGCCACCATGCTCCTGAAGTCAGGTGAGGAGGAGTTCTGGTCCAATCAGCACCCGCAGCCATACTGCTTCCCTGACCAACCTGGAGGAACATCCTATGAGAGATACGAGACTTATAAAGTAGGTCACATGTATTTTGTGGGCTCTATGTGCAGTTTTGTTTTGTTTTCTCTTAGTTTATGATTTATATTTTCATTCGTTTCCTGTGCACATTTCTGCTTCCCTAGGTCCCCAATTGGTGCCTCGATCACTGGCATCCTTCTGAGAAAGCCATGTACCCTGATTACTTTGCTAAGAGGGAGCAGTGGTTAAAGCTGCGGGCACAGAGCTGGGAAAAAGAGGTATGTCTGTCGTTAAGTTCTGTAGCCTTTGGAACATTCGACTGGATGCTTCGCTTTTAAGGATTAGGACTAAGGGTGTAACAATATGCGTACTCGTATTGAACCGTTCGGTACGAGACTTTCGGTTCGGTATGCATTACAAACCGAACAATTCAGACTAATATCTAAAAAGATAAAAGAGAATATTTGTACAAAATATAATGTTTTCAGTGCAACAACGCTCAACAAGGCATCCCAAATGGCTGCCTTCCCCACCCACCTCCAAACAAACAATACTCCAGTCAGGCACACGCTGCACCAGCTCGCAAAATGGCTAGTAACGTTAATGTAATCCTCCTATAACAAACAGCGGGTCCCCCACCCCGGTCTTCAGATATGATGCGCACATCGCACCCCCTGTGGTCTTCATGCGATGCAGAAGTATTAACTTTTTTTAATGTTGTTGGTTTTTTAGGTCCAGCAGCTGCAATCTGAAACCCCTGCTGATGGCCCCAAAACTGAGGCTCTGCCCCCAGCCCGTAAGGAAGGAGACCTCCCACCTCTGTGGTGGCAGTTTGTCACTCGTCCCAGAGAGCATCCCATCTGAAGACGCTGGTGTTGGGAAGAGAATTCCAAGATGTCTAAAACAGTTCAGTTTTGTCCAACAGCAATATGAGCTTAACAATTAAATAAACTAGTATGAAATCCACCTCTCTTGTAGTCATTTAATGCCAACTTCTTCATTGACAGCTTCTTGCTTTTTCTGTTTTTTATTGGTAATACTTAGCATGGGCGACTCAGTGGTTGTTTCACAACAAGAAGGTTGCTGGTTCGAGTCCCGGCTGGGTCATTTGGCATTAGGTTAATAATGTCAACTATAGATGAATTGAATAAACTAAATTGTCTGTAGTGTATGTGTGTGAATGAGTGTATGGATGTTTTCCAGTACTTGGTTGCAGCTTGAAGGGCATCCGCTGTGTAAAACAAATGCTGGATAAGTTGGCGGTTCATTCTGCTGTGGCGACCCCTGATGAACAAACGGTCTAAGCCAAAGGTAAATGAATGAATACATGGCGCCAAAATTAGCCTGTTAGCTTCCTGGCTTAACATTTAGTGGTGCATGTGTTTTGATCAGTTTCACTGAATACAAGATTTCTCATGTAGTTATTCAAGTATTTGTTTCTGTATGTTAACAGAATCAATCGAGTTGCTACGCTTGGCTTTTGTTGAAGACTCCAGCATAAAACAGTGTCTGATTTTTTTCATCAGTCAGGAGGACATCATCTCACTTTCAGGTTCTGTCTTAAAACCATCACGTTACACAAATAAGTCTCATACCAAATAACAAACCAGTCATACATGTGATGTATTCGTCTTTATTGGACCAGCAGCACCATTTGGTGTGCGCATTAACCCACATCTACAAAATTTAAACATAAACCTGGACATATTAAGTCAAATACACTTCAGTGCCCTGCCTCATTGGACTCTAAAGAAGGCCATAAACAGTATGGATTTAGGACATCAGAAGAAAGGAGTAACTCATCCCAATGTTTACAGACAACAATATTTGGATATTAGAAGCCAATATTCTCAGCATTCCCCTATTTTTACAGATGGCTCAAAGGTGGAAGATGGTGTAGCAGCAGCAATGGTAACTGGTCAACAACATTATGGAATCAGTCTGCCTAAAGAATGCTCCATATTCACAGCTGAAGCCCGCGCTTTACTTTTAGCATTGGAGTATATAGAAAATGCCCAACAAAAGAAATCTATCATTTTTACAGACTCTAAATCATGCCTCCAAGTTATGGAATCTTCAACGAATGATCATCCTTTGATTGATAATATTTTAACTAAAGTTCACCAACTACAAAATCAGTTTTATTACATCATTTTTTGCTGGGTTCCTGGACATGTCGGACTTTCAGGCAATGAGCGAGCTGATGCAGCTGCTAAAGATGCTTTGAAGCAAGTAGTGAACAAATGCCAAATCTCTCCATCAGAGATGAAACCTTTTATCAACGCTTACATTTTAAACAAGTGGCAAAAGGAATGGGATGCATTAGAAAACAATAAATTACATGAAATCCAACCTGAAGTTTCACACAGAATTTTAAGACATTTTAAGAATCGATTTGATCAAGTAGTTTTTACCAGATGTCGTATTGGGCATACAAGAATAACACATGGTTTTTTGCTCCAAGGTGAAAACCCTACTCAGTGTTTGAGCTGCAAAACTCCTCTTACTATAAAACATATTTTACTGGACTGTCCTGCTTTTACTGATTCCAGAAGGACTCTTTATTAAATGAACTCTTTTAAGGACATTTTTGACAAAGTGAAACCAGAAAAGATTTTAGAATTTTTATCATGTATTAACACAAAAAATCTTATTTAATTTATGTTTGTTTGTTGATTTTTAAATTGTATATTTATTGTTGAAAGATTCCTGCCATGAAGATAGCCTTGGTTGCTTTGTTGTGACCATGCGTTCATACATAACCTATATAATAATTTTAATAATTTGTCTAACATTTATTTTGTTTGCATTTCACTGAAAGCCACGCTACAGAGTGAGATGTTTTCTACTGGGCGTCACATATATTCATATTCAATATATAACATTGGCATTTATTCTTACATTGGAAAAGACGATGTGAATGGCTCGGTGCTAATCCAGTGCGCGTGCGTATTGGCCTTGGGGTATAAACTCGGAACTTTAAACTAGCGCACAGGTGGCATAACTTTGTTTAGTTGCAGCATTTTCGTTCTGTGCAACAGAAAAGCAGCATTGAGAAGCCTTTAAGATTAACCGTATTAAATTAAAGCGCGTTTAATAGTGAAATGGGCTATTGTTGCCTCCTTAATAACGATTATCAGTGCATTGAACAAAATGCCTTTTCTAAAAACATAACCAAATGTTTCCGGCTGCTTGCACCACTCGCTAAGTTGTCAGGGGACTCGCGCTCTGCGCGGACTTCAGCTGCAGCTCTTGCTGTATTGAATAGACACACGTCACTTCATAACCATAGCTACCGTTTTGTGACTGAACTAAATTTATTTTTAATGTCTTGGTCACTATTTGGAGGGCCTACAAATTGCTTTGGGGGCCGGGTTCAGCCCATGCGCTGCCAGTTGAATAGCCCTGGTGTATCGTGTGGTTACTAATGCTAGGCCAGCCTTTATCTGTCATAAGTATGCAGATGCGACAGTAAATGTTTCACAGTAATTTACCATTTATTAACAGTTACTACCTGTACATAAAGTAATGTTATTTATTCTTTACTCTACATAATTTCATCCAAATCCTGCTAATTTTACAGTAAAATATTGTTTTCTTTTATTACAGCAAAACACTGGCTATTTGGAGTTAACAGTGCACAGTTAAATAACTGCCACAGTAAAGACATCTAACTATCTAAGCCCACCACCACCCCCTTCCTCATGGAAGGACATCCATCATTCATTCATTCATCCATTCAGGAAATTCCTAACCAGACCATCAGTTTCCAATCATTGCTGAGGTCTGTGATTCCTATTTGTCTCCACATGCTGCACTCCAGTCTGCAAAAGACAAAGACAGAACTAACAGAGCTGCACATGCTTGCTGAGATCTAGCAGTGCACAAGATGTCCTCTAGTGTTCTTCAGATGAATCTCCACTGATGCTCTTGTGAGTTTCCTCCTTCTACATATTGTGTGTCTATTGCTTGAATATAAAAAATCTGCCACAGGCATCAATCTAACTAAGCCCACCACCACCCCCTTCCTCATGGAAGGACATCTATTTATCTCTCATTTATCCACCTATTCATTTTGGAAATACCTAACCAGACCATCAGTTTGCAGTCATTGCTGAGGTGTGATTCCCATTTCTCCACATGCCCCAGTCTGATCTGCAAAAGACAAAAACAATACTAACAATGCTCACAGGCAATACATCTAGCTAACTATCTAAGCCCACCTCCACCCCCTTCCTCTTGGAAGGACATCTGTTGTCGATAGGAGATACCTGACCATTAGTCCATTATCTGACCATTATCATTGCTGAGGTGTGTGACTCTGTAAAAGACAAAGACAACATCAATAGAGTTCTACCTGCTTGTTCAATTCCATCCATCCATCCATCTAAAGGAAATACACGACCATCAATTAATAAAGTTCATTTGATTCAACTTAAAATGTAAGACAGTACCTAAATTATTATGATGTACTTGTCATTACTGAGGTGTGTTTCCCTGTTTCTCCACATGCTCCATGATATTCTGCTAAAGAGAAAGATATCAAGTCTTTAATTAATCTTAATACATTTTTCTGAAAGCTAACTCCATTGTTCAGTCTGTTCAAGCAGATCTACCTGCTTCCTGAGCTCCAGGTCTTCAAGTATATCTCCACCGTTCCCCTTATGAGTCTCAGGGGTGTTGCTAGACATGAAGCTGTACTGGGGCATGAGCTACCCCTTGACTGCATTCCCCCCACCCTCCCAAAAACAATCACCAAATGTAATGTCACCAACAGAAATCACCCAATGTAAAGACACGACTGGAGTGATTTAAGATCTGCTAAAAAAAAAACTTTTCCATGAATTTTAACTTCATATGAGGTTTCTAGAGAACAAAATAAAAATGTCTAGAATGATCTTTTGTCTGAGACGTGACTCCTGATGGCCGAGAAATATTGCTATTAAGTCGAACTTCCCTGACTCATGTATTTTTTTAGTCTGTGTTCAACAACTGGGATTTACACCGGGAGCAGGAGCAGCACGAGGGAATGGTTTTCTGCACACGTGTCAGTTTGTTTTCGATTAAACTATGTTGCTTTATTTACTACATTGCCCCTTATATTGTGGTTCGTGCCCCAGTAAATGGGGTCTAGCGACACCCCTGGTGAGTCTCCTGCTTCTGCTCCACTCCAATCTGCAAAAGACAAAGACTGAACCAACAGAGCCCTACCTGCCGGCTGAGCACCTGCAATTTTAGATAAATCTCCACTGATGATCTTGTGAGTCTCCTTCTTCTGCATATTGTGTGTCCATTACCTACAATATCAACACCTGCCACAGACAAGACATCTAACTAGCTAAGCCCACCACCACCCCCTTCCTCATGGAAGAACATCTATTTATCATTCATTCATTCATCCATTCAGGAAATACCTAACCAGACCATCAGTTTGCAGTTATTGCTGAGGTGTGATTCCCTGTTTCTCCACATGCTCCATGCCAATCTGCTAAAGAGAAAGATATCAAGTTTTTAATTAATCTTAATACATTTTTCTGAAAGCTAACTCCATTGTTCAGTCTGTTCAAGCAGAATTACCCATTTCCCTGAGCTCCAGGTCTTCAAGTATCCTGTTCCGCTTGTGAGTCTCCTTTTTCAGCGTCACTCCAACCTGCAAAAGACAAAAACAGCCCCAACAAAACCCTACCCACTGTTCTCCAGCATATTCCAGATAAATGTCCACTGATGCTCTTGTGAGTCTCTCTCTTCTGCCGGCTCTCCATTAGCTGAGAAAAGGAAAAACCTGACACAGACAAGGCCTATCTAACTATCTATACCAGTGGTTCTCAAAGTGTGGTACGCGGAGGAATCACTGAATAATAATTAAAAATATTTGAACACACTCTAACACTTTGACATGTACAATAACACGGATGCGATTAGCGTTGGCTCTTCCCTGTACTGTATAATCCCACTGTTGTGATTACTGAGCTTAGTGCATCACGTCATCAGATGCTAAGAATCTATAAAACTGCAGAGCTCTCAAACAGATATGTGCCATAGATATATACACTAGATATCGCATACGGACCCTGAGCATGTGTCAATACTGCCGCCATGTTTGTACAGTGCTCTCAGGGCTCTTTTAAACATCATTTGGGAAATATTTAAAAAAAAAAGAATAAAAATCAAAGGGGGGCTAATAATTCTGACTTCAACCGTACAAAATATGTATTTTGACACTGTTATTCAGCAGTGTGTAAACTGTACATTCATTTTATTGTTAGATATGATTGTAAAAGTTTCCCAGTACTGGGTTGCAGCTGGAAGGGCATCCTCTGTGTAAAACGTATGCTGGATAAGTTGGCAGTTCATTCTGCTGTGGCGACCCCTGATGAATAAAGGGCCTAAGCCCAAAGGAAAATGAATGAAAGATTGAAAAGATTTATTTTTGACTTGATGCAGTTGTGTCGTTTTATTTCTGTATCTTGAAATAAACTTTGTTTGCTCTGAATCACTGTTGTTTGTTTCTTTTTTTGCCAAGAACAGCCTTGTCATTGATAAGGGATTTACAATGCATAAATAATCCTTACAATGGTTCAATCAGCATTTATTCAATTTAAAGCATTTATTAACATACACAGTAACTAACTACCCTACTGAAAAATACGATTTGAATAGTTTATTAAATGTTTGCTTAATTCATAATGTGTATCTTAAAAATCGCCACCTCCTCTTTAATAACTGGTTTAAAAATAATGCCAAACTTAATTTAGCAAATACATATTGATCTGTACGAAAATACAATCATGAAGCACATTATACACTCACTGGCCACTTTATTAGGTACACCTTACTAGTACCGGGTTGGAGCCCTTTTGCCTTCAGAACTGACTTATTCCTTTGTGGCATTGATTTATCAAGGTACTGGAAATATTCCTCAGAGACTTTGGTCCATATTGAAACGATAGCATCCCAGTGTTGTTGCAGATTTGACGGCTGCACATCCATGATGTGAATCTCCCGTTTCACCACATCCCAAAGGTGCTCCATTGGGTTAAGATCTAGGGACTGTGGAGGCCATGTGAGTACAGTGAACTCATTGTCATGTTCAAGAAACCAGTCTGAGATGATTCACGCTTTATAACATGGTGCAGTATACATCAACCTAAACCGTTGATACAATGCAGGATGGATCCATGCTTTCATGTTGTTGATGCCAAATTCTGACCCTACCATCCCAATGTCGCAGCCAGAGATGAACTCTGTGATTTGGGGGGCCCTAAGCAATTCTAGGTATGGGGCCCTAGCATTAAAACCCAAAACAGACCTTTTTCTATAGATATTTTTTTTCTCTGTAGGTTTGTTTGTATGTAAATAAACTGCATGTTAAAATATATTATGATAAAATATATATAAATGGAAGCTTTATCTTTTCAATGTAAAATTAAATACAATAAATTCACAAATAAAAAACGAGTTCACAAACTAATTATATGTAAAATTAAATAGCCATTTTTGTGATTAGACTTTTGCATGTGCAGTGCGGAAGGAATGTTCTAGTATTCATGAAAGCCCCCAGATTTAAAAAGAGGTGGTTATAGATAGATTTTACAACATATGATGGGAAATAAAAGAGCTATATGATTAATATAGGCTTCTTGGCATTGGTTGGGGCCCCCTAGTACCCTGGGGCCCTAAGTGGCTGCTTACCTTACTAATTGGTTAAGTCAGCCCCTTGGTCACAGCAGAAATCGAGACTCATCAGACCAGGCAATGTTTTTCCAATGTTCTATTGTCCAATTTTGGGCTTTTTTTTTTTTTTTTTTTTGTAATTTTTGCAGATCAGCAGTTTCATGCAGGTATGAACTGCAGCAGATCATCTTGACCATGTCTAAATGCATTAAGTTGCTGCCATGTAATTGGCTAAAATTTGCATTAACAAGCAGTTGGACTGGTGTACCTAATAAAGTGGCCGGTGAGTTAATATGTGCTTGTAAATCAAGAAAACAGCATTTATAGCTGTATTTATAAACTGCTTACTAATGTATTTCAATGTGGAGTTACTATTTGCAAATGCCTAATTATTTATTCACAATGGGCCATTATTATAATGTGTTAACGTAGTTGAAAAACATTTGACTAGATTTCTTTCGAAGCATTAGAGGAACAGATAAAATAAAACATCTGCTCTACGCCCACTGCCCTTATTAAATATTAATTATGTTGTTGAAGAGTGGGACCAGACAGCATTTAAACATCACCATCTGGAATAACTGTTTCATTATTCATTCATTCATTTTCTTTTCAGATTAGTTCCTTTATTAATCAGGGGTCGCCACAGCAGAATGAACCGCCAACTTATCCAGCACATGTTTAAACAGCGAATTCCCTTCCAGCTGCAACAACAACACTTGGAAACACCCACACACTTTTGCACACACTTACATACACTACGGTCAATTTAGTTTTATCAGTCAGGGCTCGGACCAGCAACCTTCTTGCTGTGAGGCGATAACCGTGCTGCCCTGTTTCATTATTTTCTTATATGAGTTAAAATGTATATAAATATAAATAGCATAAAACCCACAGCGTTCAGTTAAACTGGATTTAAAGGCCCGTAGCCAGTATTGTCCCAAACATGAGCTCATTTGTCCTATTTTGACTGCTATGCCATCATAAAGTGTGAAAATAACTCATCAAAGAAGGCTTCCAATGAATCCAAACAATTATTTTTCATGAGTCCAACATCCAGCTGTGCAAGAAAACATACAATATAACAAAAGTAAAATCATCTTTCACAACAAGTAACCCAACTTTTATTCTGAATCTTGGACCATACCAATAATAAATAAAGGTTTGAAGCACCAAAAGCGAAAGGCAATTTTAATACTAATTAGGCTATTTTTGTTATCCATGAACTTTCAAAAAGTTAAGCTCTATATTATTTATATTATTATGTTTTAATTTTTTATTGTTTAAAAGGCCAAATTCTGACTAGCAAAGTTGAATGTGCTGGCTACCCACATAGCAAATTATCTCTGGCCCACACAATTAGCTTTTGCTTGGCCCACATGCCATAATGAATTACGGTGACTGGACCAAGTCTGGCTTCCAGACAAGGGCTAATCATGGTCCATATCTGAGCCAAGTCTGAAAGCCAAGTTAACTGAGCCTGAACTGGGCCAGATATGTTGGTGTATCACTACTGCACTGAAATTGATAAACCTATGAATCATTACGCTTTAGGCATGCTTTTTCTCGAAACTACCTGACTGGTTGAATTTTATTTCTTTATTTAAAAAATAATAAAAATGTATTTTAAATGTGGGTCAAGATGGGGCAATCTTACATCCTACAAATTATTAACATCTGGGCCATATACTACATTTTACATCTGGCCCAAGTATTCTGTACCGCCTTAAAAAAGGTGCCACCAATGTTTGGCCTACATGCTGCATGCCAGTGCCAGATTAATGCCAAATCTGGGCCAGAATTCTTTGCTACCTGGATTTGCTATTTCCACAATAAATTATAGGCTACCTTTTTTCATTTACAACCTTATTTTTAACTCATTTTTTTGTCATCATATATAATATAATAAATAAAAATAAATATTTGTTCATATTTCTTCATTCTATAGAGCAAATGTTTCTGGTCCCTCAAAAAGTGTGCTTATGGTGACAATTTATGAAGCTCATAATCAAGCAAAAAATAGTGGCAAAAATGTCACTTATCTCATTATTGAATAGAGCATAAGTCAAATAACTGCAAAAAGGTGCACTTTTTGAGAAAAAAGACCCCTTTCCCCAGGCTGCCTACAGGCCTGATTTATTAAGAGCAATATCGCGGTTGTCCTCTCTAGATACTATACTCCGTCAACCACTAGAGAGCGACGTAGCACAACCTTGTGTGTCAAAATATAGACTAAATACTGTATTTATAGATTATGTACATGAATAACTTTGCCTTTTTTTATCTTATTACTGGCGAGGAGTCTACGTGTATCAGAAATGACTGTGTTATGCTTATAGGTTGTCCATTTCCTCTACTTTTTTATACAGGCAAGTTTGCCGCTAGTTTTTGGTTACAGATATGAAGTAAACTGTAATAAGCTCAGTCAACAGTTTCATTTAGCATCATACTTGTTTTCGTGTCAGGCTTTTCGCTTATGACTGATGTGTGAAAGAGGAGGAGTTTATTTTCCTCTGACACACACAAACACACACACACACAGCTAATCGGAGGAAAGTGGCCACATCTGCAGTTGCTCCCACCGAGCACAGATCACATTACTCTTTCTACATCACTCTGTTTTTTCTTTTTCCATCATGGACAGTGCTTTTGCCAACCTAGATGCTGCCGGGTTTCTACAGATCTGGCAGCACTTTGATGCTGATGGTAATTTTTTCATATTTATGTACTTTTGTTTTTAAGTGACATACTTATACGTTTTGTGTACTCTAGTATTATCTCTATCTGTACCTCCATGTTTATAAACCTGCACTAATTCACACTTTTCTGCAGACAATGGCTACATTGAAGGGAAAGAGCTGGATGACTTTTTCCGTCACATGCTGAAGAAACTACAGCCAAAGGTATCAAACATAAACCACACAGGTTAATAAGAAATATAATCATTAACAGATCTAAATTCTACATTTAAAAATGAGTTCATAAGTATATATGTTTGTGTTTATTGACTATTAAATCTCTATGAACGAATCATTTGATGTAAAACTATCTGAATTTATTACTGTTTAGGGTCTGTCGTTTCTCTTAAATGCTCATTTTACAATCTTTGTGATTCTAAAATGATTTTTGCATGTATAACACAGTCATTGCATGTTATTTTAATGGTTAATAGCATTATTTTTTATGCAAATGTGATTACTGTAGTATGAAAATGCTGAGTGCATGCACATGCACTTGTGACTGACATGATTTTATCTTAAGTTGACACAAATTGTTCAGGAAACTGTGGTTAGATGTGATCAAATGATACATTTTGCAGCTTTCTCTATGTTAGTGATTCTTAAACTCCCTTTACTTCAATCCACCACTATCATATTATTAAAATTGTAATAATAAGACATTCGTATGGTCCTCATGGGTTGTGTAAAACCTTTAACTAACTGTATTGTAACACTGTTTTTTTTACACAACTGTTGTTTTGAAAGCTGCATTAGTTAGTTCTGTTAATGGATAAGCATTATGTGAGCGGGCTTATGTAAATAGAGGCAGTGTCAGATGTTCAGTGTGTACCAGCATATCTTAAGGGCATCTCCATTGTTGGGCAGCGTTACCGTTGCACTTCGCTGAGTGACGATGAGGAGCTTAATGAGAGGTAAATGATGGAAATGTGGTCATGGTAACCAGTTTTTTTTTCTGCTCTTCTTAGGATAAGATAACAGATGAGAGAGTGCAGCAAATAAAGAAGAGTTTCATGTCTGCCTACGATGCCACATTCGACGGACGCTTGCAGATCGAGGAAGTAAAGCACTTTTTTTTAACCATTTCCTGCTTTCTTTCTGTTTAACCCCCATAGTGAAGTAAAACTAGCAACAAAAAGGATTACCAAAAACATAAAGTGTTTGCAAACACACACATCCTTGTATATGTGGTTTACGAGGACTCTCCATAGGCGTAAAGTATTTTAGGTCTCACTTTTTATTTTTAAGTGGCTTTAACGTATATCTATTTACACTGAAATTTCAAAAATAATGTACTTCTTGTGTAAATGCATTGTACTTGTGTTTGATAAAATACCTGCATGTAATTACATGTGAAGTTTACTTCATTTATAATACACTGTTGACCAACCCTTACACCTTAACCCACCTTTAAACCTTCTCATACCACCAAAGCAGTCCCTAAGCTTACCCATACAGTACCCCACTACAGTACAGTAGCACTAGATGGTTTCTGCATTACGTTATGAACACAGTAAGTACATTGTATTTATATTTTGATGTAAGTACACCGAATTTAAAGCCACCTAATATAAAGTGGAACAATATTTTATACCAACCCGCAGAAAAAACCTGTGGCAAATTTTGAATGACAAAAATATCCTGTTATGTACACTACCAGACAAATGTCTTGATTCCTATCCCAGTTTTATAAACAACAAATAATAACTTTACTTCTAGTTGATCATTTGGTATCAGAAGTGGCTTATATGAAAGGCTCACGCCTCTAGATTATGCTTATTTTACCAAAATAAAATATGATCATGCCTTGATTTTTAAGTTAGGTCTGACTTTGCTTAGACAAAAGTCTTGTCACTAACAGAAATAATAGCCAGTATAGAATATAATGTCATGATGCAGTGGAAAAAGAATGACTATTGTGTCTGACTCCCATGAGCTTGGAGGACTGCATCCATACATCTCTGCAATGACTCAAATAACTTATTAATAAAGTCATCTGGAACGGCAAAGAAAGCGTTCTTGCAGGACTCCCAGAGCTCATCAAGATTCTTTGGATTCATCTTCAGTGCCTCCTCCTTCATCTTACCCCAGACATGCTCAATAATGTTTATGTCTGGTGACTGGGGTGGTCAATCCTGGAGCACCTTGACCTTCTTTGCTTTCAGGAGCTTTGATGTGGAGGCTGAAGTATGAGAAGGAGCGCTATCCTGCTGGAGAATTCACCCTCTCCTGTGGTTTGTAATAAGACACAAATGTCTTGATACCTCAGGCTGTTGGTGTTGCCATCCACTCTGCAGATCTCTTGCATGCTCCTATACTGAATGTAACCCCAAACCATGATTTGTCCTTCACCTAACTTGATTGATTTCTGTGAGAATCTTGGGTCCATGTGGGTTCCAATAGGTCTTCTGCAGTATGTGTGATGATTGGGATGCAGTTTAACAGATGATTCGTCAGAAAAATCTACCTTCTGACACTTTTCCAAATGATCAACTAGAACAGGGGTTCCCAAACTTTTCAGCCCGCGACCCCCAACATTACAATGCCAGTGACTTGTGACCCCCAATATTCTCTAAGGTGTTGGTTATAAATACAGAAACCTTGTATGCAATGACACGCACAAACACACCAATAGACCCAAGTCTATTCTTTGTTTTTTTTTATGTATGTCAGTGCTGTAAATGGGCTAGAAAGTTTAACCTGGTGTTACAAAATCTGCTGCATCTGACAGTATTGCTGTGTCTTTAGTATAATGTAATTACCCGAGAAGTCGCAATCCAATAGAACTAGTAACTATAAGCTACTATAGTGACTATATAGTTTATAGTAACTTTAAACTACTATTTTTTCTCTTCAGTAGGTTATTGATAAAATACAGTAAGTCTTAAGGTTTAATAATAATTAATTGATTTTTGAAAATTACCAGGCGACCCCCCTTCATTGTCCCGCGACCCCTCGGGAGAACCTCTGAACTAGAAGTCAAGTTATTAATTGTTGCTCTTTAAGCTTTAAGCTTAAACTTTAAGCTAACTTTTCTATCTGTGCCATTCTCATTAGGCTTGTCACAATAAGTAATTTTTGTTGAGCGATAAAATGCCTTAAAATTGTTGCAATAAGTGATAATATTGTTATTTGCCACTGATTATATAATGATTATATAACAGCATTATTAAGATTATTTAGATTGTATAATTTGATGTTTAAAAGGTAAATGTCCTATTATATATATATATACATTTAAATGTTCTATTAGGTAAATGTCCATTTATAAACGTTGACACCCGTGAGGAAGAATGTCAATGTCATTGTAAAATGGCTTTAAAGTAATTTGTCAATTTGTAAACGCACACTCACCGGCCACTTTATTAGGTACACCTTACTTGTACCGGGATAGTCCCACTTTTGCCTTCAGAACTGCCTTGATTCTTTGTGGCATAGATTCAACAAGGTACTGGAAATAGTCCTCAGAGATTTTGGGTTATATTGAAATGATAGCATTATGCAGTGGCTGCAGATTTGTCAGCTGCACACCCATGATGTGAATCTCTCATTTCACCACATCCCAAAGGTGCTCTATTGAATTGAGATCTGGTGACTGTGGAGGCCATTTAAGTACAGTGAACTTATTGTCATATTCAAGAAACCAGTCTGAGATGATTTGTGCTTTATGCCATAGTGCGTTATCTTGCTGGAAGTAGCCTAGAAAAGAGAGGTACACTGTGGTCATAAAGGGTCAGCAACAATACTCAGGTAGGCTGTGGCGTTGACACAATGCACAATTGGTACTAATGGGCCCAAAGTGTGCCAAGAAAATATCCCCCACACCATTACACCACCACCACCAGCCAGTACCGTTGATGCAAGACAGAATAGATCCAAGCTTTCATGTTGACACCAAATTCTGACCCTACCGTCCGAATGTCGCAGCCAAAATCGAGACTCATCAGAGCAGGCAACGTTTTTCCAATCTTTTATTGTCCAACTTTGGTGAGTCTATGCAAATTGTAGTCTCAGTTTCCTGTTTTTAGCTGACAAGAGTGGCACCCGGTGGGGTCTTCTGCTGCTGTAGGCCACCCACCTCAAGGATTGATATGTTGTGCAACCAGCTTTTCTGGCACCAACAACCGTGCCACGTTCAAAGTCACTTAAATCATCTTTCTTTCCCATTCAGATGCTCGGTTCGAACTACAGCAGATTGTCTTGAACATGTCTACATGCCTAAATGCATTGAGTTGCTGCCATGTGATTGGCTGATTAGAAATTTGCATCAACAAGCAGTTGGACAGGTGTACCTAATAAAGTGGCCGGTGAGTGTATATTGCAATAGCAAAAATTATGGAGGTATTTTACACTTATTCCACGATAAGTCAATATATTGTTCATTTTGACAGGCCTAATACTCATGTCATTATACATTTTTGTGTCCTCATAAACCACTTAAACCTGTACACACACACACACACTGACACAAAAACAACAACAGCTGAACGCTTTCCACTGCTGAAGCTTTTATCTTGACGCTTTATGGTTTCCTCCTGCTCCCAGCATGGTTGAATTAGTCAGGTGAGGTAGGGTGAAGCATTGTTTGCTTTGTCATGTTAATGGTTTGTTTTGCTTCGTTCACATTTGTTCAGTGGACTAAAAGGTTAGTCAGGGGAAGGTTGGAGCAATGAGTTGAATGTAAAGAGCTTTAACCGTAAGTGCCTCATTAATGTACAGTACAAAACCAGATGAAGTCAGATGTGTGGTTTCATGAGCATGTTATGGTTTTTGCAAACAACTGACTCTGTTTTCTGATTCTTCATGTCATTATGGGATGCTCAGTGCTTCAGCAGCTGAAAGATTCTTAAAGGGCTAGTTCACCTATAAATTTATGTTGTCATCATTCGCTTAAACTTATGATGTTAAAAATGTGCGTGACTTTTTCTTAAATGGATAGTTCACCTAAATCAGACGTCCTGGAGGGCCGTGTCCTGCATATTTTAGCTCCAGCTTCCTTCAACACACCTGTGTGGAAGTTTCTATTAGCTGCGGTCACACTGGGCTTTTCCTCCCATAGACTCCCATTCATACGCACACGAATGCGTCAGACCGGAAACGCTGGGTCATGCGTCAAGTTTCGCAGGTTGCTGCAGTGCAAAGTTCAAGCTTGGTGAACTCTGACCTGCGAAATCACATCACTTGACTGCGTGAGACCAGTTGAGGATCAAAACGCAGAAATTTAAAGCATGGAGCAATCGCTCGCTTTTTTAAATGTCTAATAATCTTGTTTAATCCCGCCCCTTTTCGCAGCACCGTACGACAGAATTTAGCACACACAAACTCTAGTATGACCATAGCTTTATACCTAAAAATAGCTTGATTAGCTGGTTCAGGTGTGTTTGATTAGTGTTGGAACTAAAATAGGCAGAACACCGGCCCTCCAGGACCGAGTTTGGGTACTCCTGACCTAAAGGGATAGTTCAGTCTTCATCCTTCACTTGTTCCAATCTTGTTTGAGTTTCAAACTTTTGTTCAGCGTGAAGATATTTTGAGGAATGTTGATAACTGGTGTCCTGACCTTTTATCCTACCTGTCAGATTATGCTACCAGCACTGTATTTGAATCGTTCTGACATGGGACAATAACCGTCAAGGTCAGGATTTTATAACCACCAAAGTTTTCTGTTGTTCCGTTCCTAAGCTATATGTAGGTACTCAATTTAGTTTTTTTTAGGTCAACAGTATCTTCATCAGAACTTCTAAATCAAAAGCTACTGGTCCAAAATATTTTAAATGTTTCCTAAAATAAAATATGTTGTTTTCAAAGGGGGAAGTTTTTTTTTTTTACCTAGACATTTAAAAATAACTTGTTTTAGGGCAATATTTACAATACTGTGATATTTTTTAATCTCAGGTTATCATACTTTCAGAATATTTTACTGGCCCAATCTTATACCCCTTATAACATATTGGGGTAGGTTATGGCGATATTACAGCCTCATTTCACACCATCCCACATCAAAATTGACTCTGGTAGAACAATCTGATGGTAGCATATTTCATCATCAAAATGGGCCACCTACTTTATAAATGGGAGGTAGGAACACTGGTAGCCATTGACTTCCATAGTAGAAAAAAAGTGTGGTTTATTCAGAAACTAATGTCGAGAGGATCACGTGCTTATGGTCAACACGGCTGGCACCTCATTAGCTCCGTAATCTGCCCTATTAGATGATTAGGGAAGTATTGAAAATAACCAGAGTTTTTCACTCCAGTTATCTTCGTCTTGAAGCTTCCAGCCCTACTTTCCACCCTTTTTTCCGATAGGGTGACATGGCGGCCCAGTGGCTAGCACTGTTGCCTCACAGCAAGAATGCTGCTGGTCCAACCTCCTATCGGGCCGGTTGGCGTTTCTGTGCAGAGTTTGCATCTTCTCTCTGTGTTCGCGTGGGTTTCCCCCGGGTTCCCTGGTTTCCTCCCACCCTCCAAAAACATACACCATAGCCAATCGACTAAACCAAATGATCACCTAAGACAACTTTAGTTTATACTTCTCACACGGCGATAAGCAGGGGAGTACCCGAGACCTACCAGAGCTCAAACTCCCCTCTCGCCCTTTCAATGGGAGGGAGCCCTGGGCTCTCTCCAGGAACAGCATGCCAATTACGCCTTAATGATTAAAGTGTGAACTCTTAAAAATACTATGGAGAGTTAATGGAAGTAGTGGAGTAAAGTACTCATACCAGAAAAATCTACAGTACAGTAATGAAGTATTTGTACTTCGTTACTTCCCATCTCTGGAAGTCAAAATATAACCTTACTCGTTATTCACAATTTATACACAATTCTTTATTTTTTTGTGTGCGACTCCAAAATTTGGTATTGCTTTACGTGATCACCCCTACTGTGTTTGATATAGGTAGCAACTGCTATCTGCAGGAAGGTGGCTCTCCAGGAACAGGATTGGCCACCCCTGATCTAGATGATCTACAATTGAAGTCACAACCCTCCTGTGATTTTTTTTTTCTTTTTTAAATATTTCCCAAACAAATGTCTTGTCTTCAATCCCAGTTGTAAGAGCAGCAAATAATAATCAGGCTTCTAGTTGATCATTTGGAAAAGTGGCAGAAGGGAGATTTTTCAGTTGAATCATCTGTTGAACTGCATCCCAATCATCACAAACAGACAGACCTAGAAGAAGACAGAACAAGAGAAATGCATTTAGTCACAGTGGCGCAGTGTAGCACAATCGTCTTACAGCAAGAAGATCGCTGGTTCGAGCTTCGGCTGAGTCAGTTGACATTTCTGTGTGGAGTTTGTGGAGTCATGTTGCGCTGTGTCTGTTAGATCAGCTTATCACATTCGCAACACTGGAGTAGAGAGGATTATTACCTGCTCTTCACACATAAAGTAGGCCTACCTGAAATTTTAAATTAAAAAAGGCTCAGTGTTAGTTGGACAGATCCTTAACGCACCGATTTCTTCCCATTGTGCTGCTCAGTTTTGAAAGTGCAGATATTGGAGGGCTGCATGCTGTGTCTCAGTGATGCATCAAGTGCTTCATTCACGCACCGCCTGCGCAGACATGCTGCGTAAGATTATTCTCACAATGAGTTTCTGTTCTCTCATCCTTCCGACTGAGTTTATCCCTCAGAGGGGAATACTTTCAGTGCTGCGAATAGTTTGTAAAGCCTGGCTCATCGTGTTCAAAGTAGTTGATTAAATAATGAAAGTGAAACTGACGAGCGCAATATGGATTGTCATTAACAGAAAATTATTAAAACTGTGAATCTGTGAAACTGTGAAAACTGTGAAAAATCTTAATATTATAAAAGGAAACATAAGCTAGACCACAACAGATCAATGTCTAAACGAATGCTTAAATAATGTAGCCTAGTTTACAGCAAGCATCATGTTTAAAGTTAAATTGTGTCATCTGTCATATACAGTAGACCTATAGGTCTGTTATTTTTACTAAAGAACATATATTATTTGAGTTTATCACAAGAAACTGTATTAGGTTTAAAAAAAACAGCACTGTATCGGGATCGGATCTGAATCGGTCGATACTCAGAATTTTGGTATAGGGATCAGATGGGTTAAAAAAACAATGTATTAGTGCATCCCTAGTTAAGGAAAGAAATGGAGTCTATGTATTATTTTATATTGTATTTCTCTTGTACATGTACAGATATTTTCTTTGCATTAGACTAAATATTACCCCATGTTTCCTCATCAATATCAGTATCTCTTCTCAATATCAATATTAATATAACTCTTCCTCTCATTTGGTTTAAATTCTCTGTATATCAGAGAAGAGATTGAACATACAGACCCATACAATCTACCCACCGACATCTTTCCTGATGATAAAATTAATAACCTCTCAATAGAAGAAATCTCAATTTTTATTACATCACTTCTATTTTAATCAACTTTAAATTGAACAGAAACCAGAGATAAATGTGTTCTATCATGGTTTTGATTGTTAAAATGACCAAAGATGCCGAGTTTCAGCTTATGGGTCAGCAGAAATATTGATATCTGCCTTGCATTGAGGAAGCAATTAATTTTTATGAGTGGAGACAGTTGATTTCACTATTATAAACCATTTTATTAGCTGGCACTAAACAATAAACCAATATTGTTTTATGTGTGTGTGTGTGTTTGTGCTAGCTGGCCAATATGATCCTGCCGCAGGAAGAGAACTTCCTTCTGATCTTTCGCAGAGAGGCTCCATTAGATAACAGTGTGGAGTTCATGAAGGTAAACTTGCACATTACATAATCCCATTCTTCACAAATCCTGTTTGAATATTAACGTTTTCACATTGCCCATGACAGATCTGGAGGAAATATGATGCTGACAGCAGTGGTTACATCTCAGCTGCGGAGCTCAAGGTGAACGTGCACACACGATACCTGGGAAGATGAAAACTACCAGTTACATTAATGTACAGTAATATAATCAACACACATGCAGTATATAAAATGGACAAAGTAAAGGAGAAAACCTTTTTAGGGAAGACCTATGTTGGCTCATCAAACCCAAAGACTTTTTTAAGATCTGAAAAGCTGAATTATAAAGTTTTTAATTTATGTATACTTTGTTAATATGGGACAATATTTGACTAAGATACCACTATTTGAAAATCTAGAATCTGAGGGATTAAATAAAATCTAAATACTGATAAAATCACTGTTAAGGTCTTCACTTTTAGGGCCCTATCATACACCTGGCGCAATAAGGTGCAAGACGTGTACATATGGTGCGATTTGTTGTGATATTCATACCAGCGCAACCCTAGTTTTCATGTTTTGCGCCATGTTGTTTAAATTGTAAATCCATTTGCACCACTTTGTGGACTCCTAGGTGTGTTGGTCTATGAAGGAGGTGTGTTAAGGCACATTGTTGACGCATTGCTATCTGCAATAACCGAAATAGACAGCGCCATTGACCAGCTGCTCTAAAGTCCAGCGCTGAGCGTGTTAGTTATGCGCCTATGCAGGTCCAAAACACGCACACATTGCTTAACACACACAGGATGTACAGCAATACACAAATATCTTTATATATGAAAAAAAAATTAAAATGTTACAAAAAATATTATTTTCTACATAAATATAAAAACCACTGCCTCTATGCCTTCTTCATCTCGGGGTGCTTTTTTCAGTTTATTCATCACAATTTGTACCCTGTCGGGTTTTGGAGACGTATCGACATATGGGGCACAGAAATAGAACGTGTGTTTGGATTTAACTCCGTTTTTTGACCACACTTCATTATTTTTGTTCATTTATTGGTTTGCTGGAAATTAAAACTGAACTTAGAAATAGTTTTGAAACAAATCTTTGCGCTTACAAACAAAATTAAATATGTAGGCTAATGGAGGTCTTTAGGGGAGTGCGTACAGCACCGTTTCCTTATCCACCAAAGTAAAGGAGTGAAGTAAAGAGTAAAAGTAAAGTAAAGAGAAAGTAAAGAGGCCGAATGGAGGAGGCTCATTCTTTATCCTCGTGCTGCAGATGCTCTGTTTAACTGTTTTCTCGCTAGTGAAGCGTTTAGTTTATCCACTTACAAAGTTTGCCATGTAAATAGCAAATGCACCATGGTGCAACGCAACTGACTCTTAAAGGGAATGGGTAATTACACTCTGATTGGTTTAATGCACGTTATACTCAGAACACATGCATAACTCATTAAGAGAATAAGCACTACCCTGTCAGACCATGTGCTGGTGCGCAGAACTTACAGTATTTTTCCGTCCTTAAAATAGCAAAAATGGATTCAAGCACACCCTAATACTTTTGCATCATGTACTTTAGACTTTACACCTAGATCAGGAGTGTCCAAACTCGGTCCTTGAGGGCCGATGTCCTGCAGATTTTTGCTACAACTTGTTTCAACACACCTGCAAGGATGGATGTTTGTAGAAAGCCTAGTAAGAGCTTGATTGGCTAGCCAAGGTGTGTCTAATTGGGGTTGGGACTAAACATTGGGATTAAAAGCTGTTTAAGTCCTCGTGTATGAGATTTAAGGTTTGGGACTTTGCTGAAGTCTGTTCTGAAAGTGAAAGCATCAGACTTGACTTCATTAGCTATGGTTTTTAATGACGCGCGACTCGCATTAACAGATAAAAATCCGATCTACCTGCTTACAATGCAGACACGAGAACACAGATCTGATTCATATCGGATAAATTTCCACATTTGAACATGGCCTGAATCTGATTTGAGTAAATCAAAATCCATGTGATTTGTTCTTGCTTACACGTACAGGGGCCATATCCGATCTGCACCACATGGGAGAAAAAAAATCGGAATTGAGTCACTTGAACAGTGCAGTGTAAATGCAGCCAATGTGGCACAAATAGATTTGCTATTTAAACAACGTGGCGGAAAACAGGAAAATTATAGATGCGCTGGTCTGAAAATAGCAATACGTCAGGGCAAACGCAGCTTGTGACTTATTGCACCGGGTGTATGATAGAGCCCTTAGAGTTTGTTCAAACTAAATGCAAACTTTTCTGGGTAAAAACCCAAACCATCTTTGTGCAACAGTCTAAGTTTTGTGGTCCAGGGTCACATTTAACATAATGATCAAATCAACAGGTTTAGCAGTTTAATAATCGTTTAATTTATTCGAGGACACTTTTTTCATGTCTTTGGACTTGTGGGAGAAACCGGAGCACCCAGATGAAACCCACGCAAACACTGTGAATACATCAGATGAGAACATGCAAACTCCACACAGAAATGCCAACTGACCCAGTCGAGGCTCGAACTAGCGACCTTCGCCACCGAATCGCCCCTCATAAACAAACAAATAAACAAATTATCTAACCTGTGCTTATTTTTTACCTTGGTCATAAGGCTAAAAATGCTTTTCTGTTTCATGGCAGAATTTCTTAAAGGACCTGTTTCTGCAGCACAAAAAGAAGATTCCTCCTAATAAATTGGACGAGTACACGGATGCCATGGTAAAACTGCTGCTGTTAATTCCGCAGTATTTATTGATTTGTTGCATAAACCTGTGAGCTGTCCATTTCAAACTAATTTCGTCAAATTTAGTGCATGGTTGTGCAGTATGGTAAATACTTTATGATTAAGACACTTTTACCATATTTTCTTTTTGGTTAAAATAATAGGATTTGTACATGTAAAAAGTTGTATGATACTGTATTTTGTTTGTTGGTTGCATCTTGCTCCAACGTCCTTATTTACAGTCTTGCTTTGTATACTATCAATATAAAAAAAACAATAATAACTTAAAGATGCAGTAAGTTTGACACCCAGTGGTTGAACTAAGTATTGCACTACTGGTTCAAAACACATGTAAGTTCAGGTTGCCAGACTGATTACACCAACAGGAGTGTGCCTAACTATCGAGCCTAAAGGCTGATTTAAGTCATGTTTTATATAAAAGTTTTCTAAAATGCAGTTCAACAACAGGATAAACTGACAATGACCACCTCAGGAACACCTCATGTGCTTTATTGGATGTAATAATGTGAGTTTGAATGCCATTTTAAATGACATTTATTGCCATTCTACTGAAAGCAGCAGCAGATAGTTCACCTCAAATCTTGAAAATAAAATAAGCCGCTTGAAATTAAACTTAAGAGCTGTGACTCAGTGCAAGCCAACACATATCAGTGATTCTGCATGTACATTTAATAATGTTAAAGTGATATTAAAAAGTATTAATTAGTGCTTCTGAATGGCTGTATTTAAATTTATGTTGTGTTTCGTCTAGTGCAAACGGGCATTGGGCAGGTAAAATAGACCAAAACAAGGACAGATGTTCAGTTCACGTTCACGTAACGCACATGTTCAAAGCAGAATATCTGACTTCAGCATTGTTTTTGCAGATAAACAAGAATGTTCACTTAGCATCTTTCCTAAATATCTGCAAACATATTATGGTATTTTTATGCTTTAGAAGAGTCAAAAACTTACATACAGCACCTTTCTGGAGAAATATGCCCATTAAATATACCCAAGACAAATAATACCTCAGGCTTAACTGCTAGATATAGATTATAGAGCCAGTGGTAGATTTCAGAAGAACTGGCCGAGGTAAGGATGTTTTCAATAGGTTCATGAGTGCTGAGCAGCCACTGTCATTTACGGTGGCCAGGAAATGCAAAACAACATTACAAGGTGTGAAACACTTTTACAAAGCTCAAGACAATTTATTATTATTATTTTTTTAGGATCTTTTATTTTTGGCCTTCTTTTTGCCTTTACTGAATAGGACAGTATTTAGACAGGAAGCGAAGTTGGAGAGAGAGAGAGGGGGGTAGGGTAGGGAAATGTCCTCGAGTCGGGATTCGAACACGGGACGCCCTAACGTGCTACTGCACCATATCTTGATGCGCTGACAGCTCGAGACAAATTTACATTTTTACCTATCATAAGACACAATTACATAAGAAAAACTATTTTACCAAGGACGAAACAAATTTACATTTTAGAAAACAGTTAACAAGGCGCAAAACACTTTTACAAGTCCCGAAATAAATTTGCAATTACTGATTTCTCACGGAAAGGGAATGTACCACTTACCGCATGTGACGTAGAATGTACCACTCTTTGGAAAATATCAGCTCATGTGTGACTTTGTAGACACAGGTTACCACGAGTCTACGAATGTACCTGAGCTCAATTTAGAGCTTCACGGCAAAGGCTGTGAATACTGATGTAAAGGTCTGCATTACCACGGCTGTAACGCAGGAGCCACGGGACACGACGAGATTTCTTGCAGCGTGGGAAAAATTTTTACGAATAAAGCACAGGAGCGGTCGGTAACTGGTGTATTTTTGGACGAGAGCGGGCAGTCTAACAATATCGCTCCCGACTCCTGAGCGAGCGAGCACGCGTATGTATGTGTGTGAATGAGACAGCGTGATGCTGCGTTTAGCTTCTTTGTAGCTGTCTGTGTGTGTGTGTGTGTGTGTGTGTGTACACAAATGAGAGAAGAGAGAGTGGTGTGTGTGTGTGTGTGTGTGTGTGTGTGTGTGTGTGTGTGTGTGTGTGTGTGTGTGTGTGTGTGTGTGTGAATGAGAGAGCCTGATGTTGCTTTTTGTGTGTGTCACTTGCATGGCATGCTTGGTGCTGTGTGTGCGTGTTTATACAGACAGCTTGTTATAGGCTGTCTGGGCTCTGTATAGCTGTGTGGTTTTCGGTTTTGTTCCAAAATTTCAAAAAATCTGTTTTCACATTGTCATTATGGGGTATTGTGTGCAGAATTTTGAGGAAATAAATTAATTTAATCCAGTTTGGAATAAGGCTGTAACATAAAAAAAGTGGAAAAATTGAAGCGCTATCGATACTTTCCGGATGCACTGTATATAAAATATATTGACCTTCAGTCAAATTTCTGTCTATTTTATGTCAATTTACAAAGTTATTATCCTCACAAATGACTCCGTGTCAGAAATAAAACAAAGAATAAGACAGAATTAAACATAAACACAGTATGTTGTCCTAATTAGCTTTTCCACACATATGCTGGCCTTGATTATCATAACACAGCAGGTGTTGTGAATGAATGCTCCTTCTGAACATTTGTATGGTCTTCATTAACACCTGCTTGCATCTGCTGATGGTTCCCATCTCTATTTTGATGCCATTAAACAGAGCAAGATCAATTAAATTTTAGGTGTCATTTAAACAATGGATGCGACTCCTCACCAAATCCATTCTTGAAATTTTGCAATTAGCGTTTCTAAAATGTTTCCAGACTACCAATGGTGGTGTATGTCATTTGTAACCGACTTGAAAAAACACAACCCATGCTGTTGTTTGAGTTCATTTGGGCATGTTGATTTTCTTTTCTTTTTTTTAAGATTTCTAAATGACCTTTGTTTTGTGCTTTGCAGATGAAGATTTTTGACAAAAACAAGGATGGCAGATTGGATCTTAATGACTTAGCGAGGTGATGTGTGTTTTATAATCACGCGTTTATTCTGTCAATGAGTGAGGAGTTATATGAGAGAAACGTACACATTTACCTCATTGTGTTTTAGTTAATGTATTTATTATAGGACATTTAGCCTTTTCATTTATCATCACCCTCACAGTGCATTATTGGTATTCCCACACATTCATTTTGTTTTCAGCTTAGTCCCCTTTATTAATCTGCGGTCGTCCCAGCGGAATGAACCGCCAACTTACAGCATGTGTTTTACACAGCGGATGCTCTTCCATCTGCAACTATTCCCACACAATACACACTAATTCACACACATACACTCACACTACGGCCCATTTAATTTATTAAAATAATATGGAGACACAAAATGCAATTCTGGAATCACCCAGATATTTATCCCAAAATGTGTTCAGGGCTTAAGTTGCCCAACTTCGCACATCTCAAATAGCTGGTTTGATGAATTATAGGGTATATGCCGAGCTAGTGCTGTTCCCATACTGATAAACTTCCGGTGACCTGTTATTGTGAGTTTTTTTTTCCTTTTACAGTGTCGATGTTTATATCGGACTTTATATCGATATAACATCTTTATTATAACCTTTATTATTACCTTTAAAGTAATCTATATAACAACTTTACATCCCACTTTATATCGGATATCACTCAGCCAGCAGAGATGGCTGATTTTTTAAAAAGAAAACAGACCTTAAACGTGCAGATTTTGCAATGGCATTCAGTTCACCGGAAGCGCTTAACCCAGGTTAATGGCAAATTAAAAGTACTATTAGCATGCTTCGGCATATACCCCACTGACTGATTACAATTTAACTGTATCTCTTCCCCAGAATTCTGGCTCTACAAGAGAACTTCCTGTTGCAGTTCAAAATGGATGTTAGTACTCATTTTGTTTTAAATCCCTGTTTGTTACGCTCAAAAGTAATAACTTGCTATAAACCAGTGAATGATGCTAAAACTTTATTTTACAGTTCTGTTTCACATTTATATATTACAGTATGTGCTTATGGCCATTACATAAAATTACTAAATATTGTGAACACTGTACAAAATGCTGGGTTTCACACAATTCCTTCATGTTGTCCCAACACAAATCAATTAAGTTGACTTAATTGTTTTTACAAATTTAAGTGATTTTAAGTAATTTTTTTTAAAATGGCTTATTTTTAATAAGTAGTTTTAAAAAAGCATCAATAAAATTTTTTTTTGAGTCTACTATCTCTTAAAGTGACATATATATATATATATATATATATATATATATATATATATATATATACGCCATATACTCACACTCAAGAGGTTTTAAATCTTTAAAGGTTTTGCTTTTCTGTTGAACACAACCTTTTTGAAACTAGTAGCCACTTACACCCTCAATAGGTTTTTTACTTGGTCAAAGTACTTAATTAAAAGAAGCTGAAGCAACACAATCCCTGAGATTTCATTGAAACAACTTAATTTTTTTATGTTCAATCAATAAATATGTTAAGTGTAAAGTTAACTAAGGGTGCTTTCACACCTGTGAATCGATTCATTTGTTCTGAAACAGGGATTAAAACTATTACATTGTTGCTCTTTGTTCTTGGTGCGGTTCGCTTTCACTCGGCAAAGTTTCTAAATGGACCAAAATAGCTAAAACAAGTCACGTGTGAGTGAACTCTCCTCGCATTGGTCAGAGTTTCACGGTTTATTCCCGCTCAGCTGTTGAGGGGGTGGTGGTTTGGTGGTGTTTGACAGGGTAAACGCATTGTGTCTGAAAGTGCGAGGACAGATGCGGCGGGGAGGGGTGAGCAGGGTGTGCAATGTATTTGAGGACCGGGAGCGAGATGCGCGATTACCGGGAAATTATCTCTCATTTGTGGGCAACCGAGAGTCTCTGTGCATTTGCGGGAGACTCCCGAATCTTTCGGGAGACATAGGATGTCTGGAATGACCTCCCGCTCTACTCGTAATTCTCTCTTCATATAGCCGTATGCCTATTACATATCCATAAAATACTGTGATATAGCCGGGCTCGGATCATATCGCTTTCTCACTACAATCGATCCGCTCCAGAGTTCGTTTCAATCGAGTGGAGACCACCTCAGAGATTGCTGGATTCACATATGCCAAACGAACCGTGCTAACTGGGCAAACAAGACAGGTTCCAAAACACAAATCTAGGTGTGAAAGCACCCTTACTCAATTTGTGTTCAGACAGCATGAATGAATTGTGTGTAATCCTGCATTTTTCGAGTGTATTTGGGATTAATTAAAACATGTTGTTTGTGTTCAACTCAGATAAGCTTAAAACAATTGCAGGTGTGAATAAATTCTGAATTTTTTTTTTAACTCTTCTTTTAACCCCTTTAGCTACCTATTATAACCCAGTACTTTCTTATACTAGGGTGCTTTCACACCTGTAGTACGTTTCCTTTGGTCCGGACCAAGATTAAAAGGTATACATTGCAGTGTTGGAAAAGTTGCTTTAGAAAGTAATGCATTACAATATTGAGTTACTCCTCAAAAAAGTAACTAGTTGCATTACTTAGGAGGCCAATTCTAAGGGCCCACATATTTTGGGGGACATTATAAAGGGCCCACCACACAAACCCGACCAACCAACACCCCCTCCCCCTCTTCACTTTCGACCGGCAACCGATACCCCTCCCCCGGTCTTCACTTTTGCCAACCCTCGCTCTTCGTTTTTCGTCCGTGACAACCCCCAACCCCTTTCACCGTGCTATTTAGTGGGATACTTCAAAATCCGTAGTAGTATCTACTACAGATTTAGTAGTAGATACTACTACTACTACTAGACTACTAGTAGTAGTAGTATCCACGACCCTAAACACACCCTCTCCCCCTTGCTATTTACTTGTCAGAGGGCTCATGGTAGCCAGCGGCGTCCGTGATCAAAGCTGACTACTGCAGCTGGTTTAAAAAATGTGAAGTACTTTTTGCATTTTGTGTCAATTCGAGGTCTGTTCACATTCTCACCCCAAACTAACCACTCGAGGGTTTGTTTAAGGGCCTACTCACACTATGCTATCCAAACCTTGCCCAGGCCTGTTTCCTGGATTGTTTGAGAAGTGTGAGTGCGCTGAATCGGCCGCTGAACGCGGTTCACTTGGGCTTTGGCGCGGTACTAAAACTGAAAGCGACACATGACTTTAAGGGACTGTTTCATATGCGTTTATTAATAGTTCTTAATCAATCAGTCATAGATTATTAAAGACGCAAACCTCTCACTGCACGAAAGCTCCGCACCTTCAGCAAACCTCCTAATATCTGCAGCATGATGACTTTATGATTGTTTATGAGTGTCAAAAGTGGCTGAGCTATTTGGCAAAATATTTGACTGCGTGTCACTGCATATCAAACGACATAAACAACGATACAACTGAAGAAATCTCATTCTCCACTGTGCAGAGCAAGCTGCACTTCTTACTGAACAGCACATCATCAACGACTTAAGCGTGCCCAGACCCGAATGTAATGTGAGTGCGGGCTGTCGGGGGAGACGGAAGGGGGGACAAGCGTACTTTGGCCCGGTTCAAGGCAACTGTATATAGTGAGAGTACGCCCTTAAATTGTAACGAGAGCACCACTTCCAGCACGTCTTGGTATACTAGTTTGGTGTGCAAACCAATCGCACCACGAAGGCAAATGAACTCTGGCATGTTTTTACAGAACTAAACAAGGCAGGTGTGAAAGCACCCTAAGCATACACACCACAAAATAAAGTGACACCTCTTTAAAAAAAATAATAAATCAAGTGACTCTGTTTCCTGTCCTCCTCAAGGCCAGCAGTCAAGTGGAAAGAAAAAGAGACTTCGAGAAGATCTTTGCACACTACGATGTTGTAAGAGCTGATTTTAACCTTCATTTCACTGTACATCACTCTGTGTGGATGCATTAACTCATTAACAGTGTGTCTTTTTTGTTGTTGGCCAAGTTACCTGATGCATTAGATATTGAACATGATGCTCCGTCCATTAATGTCCGTCTCTCATTCTAGAGTAGGACTGGAGCACTTGAAGGACCAGAGGTGGACGGCTTTGTCAAAGACATGATGGAACTAGTAAGGGTAAGTGCGTTGTACAAAACTCCCTATAGAGAGGCAAAATCAATCACATTATGCTGTCATCAACTTTTTAACAAACTTCATTCAACCTAATTTTCTGCGACTGTTTAGGATTTCAGATTTATTTGTCTATAGAGCACATGACTAGAATTAACAAACAGCAGTAATACTATTTGCTCCACACAAAAACGTTTGTTTATACTGAAATTGGCTTTGAACAAGTTTTAACAGAAATTGGCTTTGAACAAGTGACGGGTGTGTAAATAACCACATTTAAAACATTTTTGGGTGAACTATGCCTTTAAAATCTTAAACGTTATATAACAGAAAGTAACTGTAAAATAATCAATGTTAAATAACAGAAATTTACTGTAAAATAAAAGATGTTAAATAACAGAAATTTACTGCAAAAAAGGGTCATGAAATTACAAAAAAATACTGTAAAAAACGGCTGTTAAATAACAGAAATTTACTGTAAAATAACGGATGTTAAATAACAGAAAATTACTGTAAAATAATGGCTGTTAAATAACAGAAATTTACAGCAAAATAACGGATGTTAAATAACAGACATTTACTGTAAAATAGCAACCGTTAAATAACAAACTTACTGGAAAATAAGGGTCGTTAAATTACAAAAAAATTGCTTTAAAAAACGGCTGTTAAAAAACAGAAATTTACTGTAAAATAATGGATGTTAAATAACGGAAATTTACTGTAAAATAGAATCTGTTAAATAACAGAAATTTACTGTAAAATAACGGATGTTAAATAACAGAAATTTACTGTAAAATAGCAACCGTTAAATAACAAATTTACTGGAAAATTAAGGGCGTTAAATTACAAAAAATTACTGTAAAATAACGAATGTTAAATAACAAAAATTTACTGTAAAATAACGAATGTTAAATAACAAAAATTTACTGTAAAATAACAAATGTTAAAAAACAGAAATTTACTTTAAAATAACAAATGTTAAAAAACAGAAATTTACTGTAAAATAATGAATGTTAAATAACAGAAATTACTGTAAAATAACGAATGTTAAATAACAGAAATTTACTGTAAAATAATGAGCGTTAAATAACAGAAATTACTGTAAAATAATGAATGTTAAATAAAAGAAATTACTTTAAAATAATGAATGTTAAATAACAGAAATACTCTAAAATAACGAATGTTAAATAACAGAAATTTACTGTAAAATAACGAATGTTAAATAACAGAAATTTTCGGTAAAATAACGGCTGAAATAACAGAAATTTACTGTAAAAACGAATGTTAAATAACAGAAATTTACTGTAAAATAACGGACGTTAAATAACAAAAATTTACTGTAAAATAGAGGACGTTAACTTACAGAAATTTTCTGCCAAATTACTGTAGAATTACAGTAAAAAAAATTATTTAACGTCCATTATTTTATTTATTTATTTATTTTTGGCACCCCAGCTGTTGGAAAAAAACGTAAAATAACAGATTTTTTAAGCAGTGTGATTGAAAAAGTATAATTTTAGTCATGCCAAAAAATATAATAAAAAATAACTTCATTCATTCATTTTTTTCCTTCGGCTATTTCAGAGGTTGCCACAGCGGAATGAACCACCAACTGTTCTAACCCATGTCAACAAAATACACTAGTAAAAGTTACACTCTTTGCATTTCTCCCCATGTTTTAACACTTTGTTTTGTCCTCAGCCCTCTATCAGTGGAGGGGATCTGGATAAGTTCCGTGAATGTCTGCTAACTCACTGTGACATGAATAAAGACGGGAAGATTCAGAAGAGCGAGCTGGCCCTGTGTTTGGGACTGAAACATAAGCCGTAGTCCTCACATATACACTCAAGTTCTCCATTTTAGATTACTAGATTTAGAAATCTTTGTTGTGTGTATTGCTCATCTCTCAGTTTGCAAAATATATTATTGTTAATTTAATTTAAGTATATTTAATGCATTCAAAACTGTCAACTTTTGCAAGAATAAGATATGTACAGTTGAAGTCTAAATTATTAGCCCCTCTGTATATTTTTCACCCAAGTTCTGTTTAACAGAGATTATTTCAACACATTTCTAAACATAATAGTTTTAATTACTTATTTCTTTGCCATGATGACAGTACATACTATTTTACTAGATATTTTTCAAGATACTAGTATTCAGCTTAAAGTGTCATTTAAAGGCCTAACTAGGATAATTAGGCAAGTTAGGATAATTAGGCAAGTCGGTAATGATGGTTTGTTCTGTAGACTATCAAAAAAAAAAAATATTACTTAAGGGGCTAATAATAATATTGACCTTAAAAATGTTTTTATTTATTTTTTTTTTATTAAAACTGCTTTTATTTTAGCCGACAAAGAAGAAAGAAAAAAATATTATCAGACATACTGTGAAAACTTCCTTGCTCTGATAAACAGCATTTGGGATTTTTTTTTTAATCAAAGGAGAGCGAATAATTTTGACCTCAACTGTATGTGTTAAAAATGTGAAGACTAATACAGTAGTGGTTTCTTCAATAAACGCTACATGTGTGAACTGTAAGCAAAAAAACTGGCTCCTTTTTTAATTTCTGTGTGAAATATACATTTTTTGTTAGTTTTTTTTGTACACTGTAGAAAAAAAATCTGTTATTTTACTTTTTTTTCTGGCAGCTGGGGTGCTGGAAAAACACCTTAAAATAATGGCAGTAAATAAGATAAATTTACTGTAAAATAATGACTGTTAAATAACTGAAATTTACTGTAAAATAATGACTGTTAAGTAACTGAAATTTACTGTAAAATAATGGCCGTTAAATAACAGTAAAATAGCGAACATTAAATAACAGGAATTTATTGTAAAATAACAGATGTCAAATAACAGAAATTTACAGTAAAATAGCAGTCGTTAAATAACAGATAATTACTGTAATATAGCGGCTATTAAATAACAGAAATTTACTCTAAGATAACGGCCATTAAATAACAGAAATTTACATTAAAATAACACCGGCTACATAACAGAAATTTACTGTAAAATGATGGCTGTTAAATAACAGAAATTTACATTAAAATAACGAACGTTAAATAACTGGAATTTACTGTAAAATAACAGCTGTTGAATAACAGAAACTTATTGTATAATAGTGGACATTAAATAACAGAAATTAACTCTAAAATCATGAACGTTAAATAACAGAAATTTACAGTAAAATATTAGACTTCAAATAACAAAACTTTACAGTAAAATAACGTAACGGCCATTAAATTACAAAAAATTACTACAAAATAACAACCGCTAAATAACAGAAATATACAGTTAAATAACAAACGTTAAATAACAGAAATTTACAGGAAAATAACGAATGTTAAATAACAGAAATTTACTGTAAAATAACGACCGTTAAATAACAGAAATTTACTGTAAAATAACAACCGTTAAATAACAGAAATTTACTGTAAAATAACGACTGTTAAATAACAGAAATTTACTGTAAAATAACGGCTGTTAAATGACACAAATGTACTGTAAAATAGCGGTTGTTAAATTACAAAAAAATTACTGTAAAAAAGCTGTTAAATAGCAGAAATTTACTGTAAAACAGAGGACGTTACATTACAGAAATTTACAGAAAAAAACGTTAAATAACTGATTTTTTTAACAGTGTTATTAAAAAAGTATGATTTTAGTCATGGCAAAAAATTTAATAAAAAATCACCTAATTTATTGGTTGCCACATCGAAATGAACCACCAACTGTTCCAGCAAATGTTTTACGCAACGCATACCCTTCTAGCTGCAACCCAGTATTGAGAAACACCCATACACACTTATTCACACACACACACACACTCATATACCACATGTCTTTGGACTGTGGGGGAAACGGGAGCACCCGGAGGAAATCCACTCCATTCGGAGAACATGCAAACGGCATACAGAAATACCAACTGACCGTCTTGCTGTGAGGCGACAGTGCTACCCGCCACCGTGTCACTCGTGCACTGTGTGTATATATAATAAATATACATAATATAATAAACTCCAATAAACTGGTCTTGTTGACATCTTGTTAAACATAAAGGAAAATAACAAAAAGGCCATATAAATACTGATTTGCGTGCACACAATGGCAACAATAGCACTTGAGCATCTGTTTACCAGCGGCTTTGACAGCAGCAATGAATAGAACGAGTATATTGCCACAAGGTTACACCATAAACACTATCACACTACACACTATGGCTTTTATATAATGACAGCTGGTGTGTGTGTGTGTGTGTGTGTGTGCGCGTGTTTGATTGAACCCTTTATGCTTATGCTTTGTTAGAGCATGCTGTTCATTTTGCACCTTTTTAGTCGGACTATAGTTATAATTAGGGGCAGCACATTGGCTCCATGCTCAGCATTGTCACCTCAGAGCAAGAAAGTCTCTGGTTCAAGTTCCGACTGGGTCAGTTCACATTTCTGTTTGGAGTTTGCATGTTCTCCCCTTGGGTTTTCTTCGGTTGCTCCGATTTCATTTCCCTCACAGTCCAAAGACACGCGCTATAGGTGAATTGAGAAAGCTAAATTGGCAATAGTGGATGAGTGTGTATGGGTGCTTCCCAGTATTGGTTGGCAGCTGGAAGGAAAAGTTGGTGGTTCATTCCGTTGTGGTGACCCCTGATGATCAGGGACTAAACCGAAGGAATATTCATTACAGTGTACTCATTTTTGCACCATAACCTTGAGTTATTTTGTTCGTTTTTATTGTGTCACATCTGTAAAGTATTCATAGCTCTTCACTTATTCCACATTTTTACTGTTTTCTTACATTTTCTTATTCCAAAATGGATTAAATTCATTTATTTCCTCAAAATTCTACACACAATACCCCGTAATGACAATGTGAAAAAAGAGTTTTTGAAATTGTTGCAAATTTATAAAAAATAAAAACCTGAAAAATCACATGTACAGAAGTAGACCGGGAAGCTCTAAATTGAGCTCAGGTACATTCTGTTTCCACTGACCATTCTTGAGATGTTTCAGCAGCTTAATAGGAGTTCACCTGTGGTCAATTCAGTTGATTGAACATGGTTTGAAAAGGCACACACCTGTCTATATAAGGCCCCAGGGTTGACAGTGCATGTCAAAGCACAAACCAAGCATGAAGACAAAGGAATTGTCTGTAGACCTCAGAGACAGGATTGTCTCGAGGCACAAGGCTGGGGAAGGTTACAGAAACATTTCTGCTGCTCTGAAAGTTTCAATGAGCACAGTGGCCTCCATCATCTGCAAGTGGAAGATGTTCGGAACCACCAGGACTCTTCCTAGAGCTGGCCGGCTATCTAAGCTGAGTGATCGGTGGAGAAGGGACTTAGTCAGGGAGGTGATCAATAACCCGAGGGACACTCTGTCTGAGCTCCAGCGTTCTTCTGTGGAGAAAGGAGAACCTTACAAAAGGACAACCATCTGTGCAGCAATCCTCCAATCAGGCCTGTATGGTAGAGTGGCCAGACGGAGGCCACTCCCCACCGGGAATTTGCCAAGAGGCATCTGAAGGACCCTCAGACCATAAGAAACCAAATTCTCTGCTCTGATGAGACTAAAATTGAAAAAAAATTGAACTCTTTGGAGTGATTGCCAGGCGTTACGTTTAGAGAAAACAAGGCACCGCTCATCATGGCTAATAGCATCCCTACAGTGAAGCATGGTGGTGGCAGGACAAGGATGCATGCTGTGGGGATGTTTTTCAGCAGCAGGAACTGGAAGACTAGTCAGGATAGAGGGAAAGATGAATGCAGCAATGTACAGAGACATCCTGAATGAAAACCTGCTTCAGAGTGCTCTTGACCTCAGACTGGGGCAGTGGTTCATCTTCCAGCAGGTCAGTGACCCAAAGTGACCGCCAAAATATCCATGGAGTGGCTTCACAACAAATCGATGAATTTCCTTGAGTGGCCCAGCCAGAGCCCAGACCTAAATCCTATTGAACATCTCTGAAGAAATCTGAAAATGGCTGTACACCCTCGCTTCACATCCAACCTGATAGAGCTTGAGAGGTACTGCAAAGAGGAATGGGCAAAAATTCCCAAAGACAGGTGTGCCAAGCTTGGGGCTTCTTATTCAAAAAGACTTGAGGCTGTAATTGCTGCCGAAGGTGCATCAACAATGTATTGAGCAAAGGCTGTGAATACTGATGTATCTGTGATTTTTCAGGTTTTTTTAGTTTTAATAAATTTGGAACAATTTAATTTTCCACATGCACTTTAACTTACTTTATAGCTTCCTACAGGAAGTATTAGCTAAAAAACATCTATAAGGAGTGCACTCATTTATGGTGCACTGTACACACTCTATAGGCTATAATCAGAAAAACGCTGCATTTATATTGTGCATGAAATCTGTCTCAGTGGAACTCTCTTATTGAATTATATTTGAAATCAGCCTGAAAGAATATTTTGATCACTCAGCATGAAGTTTGGTCAAGACCGTGTCTCCATGGAAACCTGCATTATCAGAGGGTGGATTTACAGTGTAATTGAAGGGTAGCAGGTGAAGCACTGAATGCACTGTTTCTCGAATTTATTGGATAAAACAATAAGGTCAGGCTGACCAGAGAATGCACTGTTTAACAAAACGCTAGTTTTTAATTAGCATTTTAATCAGCGCAACATTTTAAATTAGCTCCAAATGTGCACCTGGCTGAATCTCATGAATACATGTACAGGACACAATTATCACATCTGAGTGGACAGATTCAATGTTTATATACTGTACATGTTTCATTCATTCCTTTTCTTTTCAGCTTAGTCCCTTTATTAATCAAGGGTCACCACAGCGGAATGAACCTATTGTAAAAAAATACATATTGTAAAATTGTGAAATGTTATTGCACTAGAAAATAACTGTTTATCATTTAATTTAGTAGTTTATCATTTAATTTAATCATTTATTCCAGTGATTTTTAAAGATGAATTTTCAGCTTCATTACTCATTCACATGATCCTTTCGCGAAATCACTAAATAATTTGTATTATTATTAATATTATTATGGTTAAATAAAGGCAATAGTAATTAAAGCAACACGACTGGAGTAATAATTTCATTTGAAACGACATACAATAAGCAGTTACTTAATTTTTTAAGTAAATATTTAACATTTTTACATTTAATAAATGCTGCCGCTATAAATAACTTTTCTTCAAAAAAAGACCAAATTTTTGAGCGGTAGTGTATATCCAGTTGTAGAAAACCATTCAGTGTTGAGTTGTTTATAGTTGTTTTATTACCACAGCAAAGTTACACATAATTACCACAACGAATTAATACAAGTACTAAATGATTCAAAAACACTATGGTGTTTATAACTTACAAGTGTTTTTATTTTTCACGTCGAACGGCAGAAAACTTAATGACAATCACATTCAAACTGCATCCTGAGTGCTGATAAAAATTAAATGTAATCAATTTCTATCGAAGTTGACCACAAGATGACACTATAGGCTAACTTTGCATTTTAGCTAAGAGGCTAACTTCCTTTACGTTTGCAAACCAGGTAAGCTTCTCAAAGCACGTCGTGAAAAATGTATAAAATGTATAAATTAAATGTATAAATTAAAAGCCTTTAATTTATAATTATTGACTTATCAAACTGGGTTTTTGTGCCATCACAACTCCTTTTGGCTTTGTTTACAAACGACCGCCAAGAAGCGTAATGTAACGTTAGCCATTTGTCAATACACTACAAAAAATATGGTTCTTTAATTTTTTTTTGCGTATAATAATTGATTTGTAGAACCGTATTGTCCCGAAGAAACCGTTTTATGTTAAATTAGTTCTTTATGTGAATTTAGGGATCTTTATTTTTCTAAATTAAAGTATGTAAACGTCTAAGTTAGGTGACAAAACACCTGCAGCTCATTAACTTTACTTGATTCTGGAGCTCGAGCATCAGCTACACACAGTCAACACTCTTTCAACAGGTAAATTCATTATTTTTTAAAAATTTCCATATATTTTTTAACTTTTAAAATGTTCCTACCAATCACTTTTTCTGTTATTAGTTTGTATGACCAGCTCTTTTCATCTGAGGATGCCTCTCTTCGGCTGGGTAAGTTACAAAGATGCCCCTCATTATAACATGACTTTGTGCATAAAAAGTCACAAAAGATATAAAAGATATTCAATGACTTTAATTTGTCTTTTTAACACAGTAACTCTATCACATACTGTCCATTTTTTGCTACTTTGGATAATTTGGGAGAACCTGCGAGATATTAAATCAGACAAATAATTATAATATTGAACAATAAAAAAATAGTTAAGGAATCTTAAAGGGTTCTGCTATTGTAGGAAGCTTAAGAACACTAATTTGGCATTGTTTAGGAGCAATATTTCATATAAGTATTCAATAATGTAAAATGGCTATAATTTAAAATGTTTATAAAGCATTACAGTGACTATACAGTAATCATCTCTAAAGTTTAACGTTTATTAAACATATGCACACTTCAGTTCATCCTACTTGCAAAAATAGTGTAGTAATTTATAGTAAATACTATAGCTTTTTTTTTAACAATACTGTAGTTAAAAAATTTCAATAGGTTGTGAGGATTCTTTAGTTGCCATGGTGACATAACTATGGACACACATACTCTCGCCGGCCACTTTATTAGGTACACCTGTCCAACTGCTTGTTAACTTTCAAATTTCGTTGTCAAATTTCTAATTAGCCCATCACATGGCAGCAACTCAATGCATTTAAGCATGTAGGCATGGTCAAGGTATTCTGCTGCAGTTCAAACCGAGCATCAGAATGGGGAGGAAAGGTGATTTAAGTAACTTTGAAAATGGCATGGTTGTTGGTGCCAGACGGGCTGGTCTGAGTATTTTAGAAACTGCTGATCAACTTGGATTTTCACGCACAACCATCTCTAGGCTTACAGATAATGAAAAAGAAAAAGAGAAAATATCCATTGAGCGGCAGTTCTGTGGGCGCAAATATGCCTTGTTGATGCCAGAGGTCAGAGGAGAACAGCCAGACTGGTTCCAGCCGATAGGAAGGCAACAGTAACTCAAATAACCTCTCGTTACAACTGAGGTCTGCAGAAGAGCATCTCTGAACGGACAACAAGTCCAACCTTGTAGACCACAACGGTTACCACTCCTGTCAGCTAAGAACAGGAAACTGAGGCTACAATTCACACAGACTCAGCAAAATTGGACAATAGAAGATTGGAAAAACCTGGTCTGATGAGTCTCCATTTCTGCTGCCACATTCGGATGGTAGGGTCAGAATTTAGCATCAACAACATGAAAGTATGGATCTGTCCTGCCTTGAATCAAGGCTGGTGGTGTAATGGTGTGGGGGATATTTTATTGGCACACTTTGGGTTCATTAGTACAAATTAAGCATTGTGTCAATGCCACAGCCTACCTGAGTATTGTTGCTGACCATGTCCATCCCTTTATGACCACAGAGTACCCATCTTCTGATGGCTACTTCCAGCAGTATAACGCACAATGTCATAAAGCGTGAATCATCTCAGACTGGTTTCTTAAACATGACAATGAGTTCACTGTACTCAAATGGCCTCCACAGACACCAGAGCTCAATCCAATAGAGCACCTTTGGGATGTGGTGGAACGGGAGATTCAGATCATGGATGTGCAGCAGACAAATCTGCAGCAACTGTGTGATGCTATCATGTCAATATGGACCAAAATCTCTGAGTAATATTTCCAGCACGTTGTTAAATCTAGGCCACAAAGGATTAAGGCAGTTCTGAAGGCAAAACGGGGTCCAACCCAGTACTAGTAATGTGTACCTAATAAAGTGGCCGGTGATTGTATTCCACAAATTACCCAGTACTGTAGTTTTCTACAACTGTAGTGTATATTACAGTGCAATACACTTAAGGTTTATGCTAGTAAAAACAAAAGCATACTGTAGTATGTATTAGTTCACTATAGTTAATACAGTGCTGTAGCATTTATTAGCAGTGTTGTAAAAACTATAATACATACAGTATAGTGCACTTTTCTATAGTGTGGTTCAAAAACACTAGTATTTACACCACTATTTAAAATCACTGTAGTACTTTCTCTATGTGGGATGACATATTTACAAAAGAAGGGTTAATAACAATGTACAGAAGATTTTTAGCTCGTTCAAACTTGTGACTGTTTAATTGAGCGAAGACAACACAATTCTTGAGATTTCATTGGGACAACGTAATTTTTTAATGTTCAATCCACATAAATTTGTTTAAAGTGTTAAGTTAACTTAATCAATTTGTGTTGGGACAACATGAATGAATTGTTTTGAAAATTTGAAAATTGTTGAAAAAAGTTAGAAACCTGTAATAGCATTAGTTTTTTCTACTATATTTTCAGCTTTTTTAAAAATATTTTCTTATGTGTTCAGCAGAAGAAATAATCTCATAAAGTTTAGGAACCACTTGAGACAGTAAATAATGACTATATTTTTATTTTTGGTTTAACTATACCTTAAAGGATTAAGAATTGTCCAAAAAAAATGTTATTGACACCAGAAATGAAGGTAAATTTCTTTAATAGTAAAAACTTGTGCATGCAATAGTAATGCAACCAACCCAGGCTCGTTCTGAAAATGTAACGCAATATACATTTCTGGAGAGCATCAAATACATCCCAGGAGGTACGTTTTTGCTGTGTACGCTTTTTGAGATCTCAGATTTTTTTTCGAAAGTGCCATTCATGTTTGCTGTTCTCGCATAAATCCACCTAAGGCCACTGTCGACTGACTGACTGACCCACTCTCCTCCCCTAAACCCAACCAATAGTGTTTTCAAAAGCACAGACTGACCAATTGATCATTTAAAAAAATAAATGCAGCCATACATACTTCTGGCTGCATAATTTGTGATCTCCAGAAATGTCTATAGGGCTCAGTTTTCAGAATGAACCCATGTTAAATGTAAACCCTAGTTAATAGGTACTAAAAATAATGGCCAGTACAGAATATAGAACACAGTTATTAAATACATTGTAAACTTTATCTTTGTCGCCAGTAAAAAAAAAAAATAATAATAAAAACACAAATACAGTATGCATGTACAAATTCATTCTTCAACTATACAGGCTTAAAAACAAACAACCAAATAGTTAAAACTAAAAACAATATTTAAAAGGGATTAAAAAAAAAATCTGTCATATTTTACTTGTTTCAAACCTTTAGGAGTTTGAAACACAACAGAAGATATTTTGGAGAACTCTGAAAACCTATAACCATTTACTTCCATTATTTGTTTTTCCTAACATGGAAGTCAATGGTTAGAGGTTTTCAGCTTTCTTCATAATATATTTTTTGTTTATTCATTCATTTTCTTTTCGGTTTAGTCCCTTTGTTTATCAGGGGTTGCCACAACAGAATGAACCGCCAACACACATAGACATTCATACACTAAAGCCACTTTAGTTTATTCAATTCACCTATACTGCATGTCTTTGACTGTGGGGGAAACCGGAGCACCCGGAGGAAACCCACGCAAACACAGGGAGAACATGCAAACTCCACACAGAAATGGCAACTAGCCCAGCCGGGATTTGATCTTCTTGCTGTGAGGCGACAGTGCTAACCACTGAGCCACCGTGCTGCACTTTTGTGATCAACAGAATTTTAAAAAAATCATAAAGGTTTGGAACGATTTGAAGATGAGTAGACATTAATTTTGGATAAACTATTCCTTTAAGTCATCTAAACTGAAAGATCATTTTAACTGAATGACTGAAATCATTAAGTTCAGAATCCTCCAACAAAAGTGTGCATATAATCAAAACAAAACAATAAATGGCAAACTCCACTGATCCATGCCACATTTCAATAAATAGATCACAACATATACATACATTATACATGACAAAACTAAGCGGCATCATAATACATTTTATGTACATCCTAAAATGACTGTGTTCATGAGATGTAGGGGGAAACATGTTTTAAAAACATTTTAAATAAAGAAATACACAGTTGAAGTCAGAATTATTAGCCCCCCTTTCATTTTTTTTTCTCTTTTTTTAAATATTTCCCAAATGATGTTTAATAGAGCAAGGAAATTTTCACAGTATGTCTGATAATATTTTTTCTTCTTAAAGTCTTATTTGCTTTATTTTGACTAGAATCAAAGCAGTTTTTAAAATTTTAAAAGCCATTTTAAGGCCAATATTATTAGCCCTTTTAAGCAATATTTTTTCCTCATATTCTACAGAACAAATCATCCTTATACAATAACTTGCTTAATTACCCTAACCTGCCTAGTTAACCTAATTAGTTAAGCCTTTAAATGTCACTTTAAGCTGTATAGAAGTGTTTTGAAAATATCCAGCTAAATATTATTATTTACTGTCATCATGGCAAAAATAAAATAAATCAGGTATTAAAAATGAGTTATTAAAACTATTATGTTTAGAAATGTGTTGAAAAAAAATCTTCCCTCTGTTAAACGGAAATTGGGGGGAAAATAAACAGGGAACTGATAGTTCAGGGGGGCTAATAATTCTGACTTCAACTGTATATATTATAATGTACACCAATACACAACAGCTTTTTTGTAATAGGTACATGGAGTTCATGGTTGAAGCATAAATTTCTACATTTTTAAATTGAATTTTATTCAAACATCTACATTTCAAGTCAAAGAATACACATTAGCATTGTTTTACTCAATACAAAGTGCTGTACCAACTCTTCATTTGTCTTTGTTTAATGCAAACAAGCAATAATATATCAAGGCATCCTGTAACTTCCAATTAATTCAGCTCTCTGAATTAAAATCTTTAAAGTGGGCTTACTGTAGTGATTCAGGGTAAAGCAACAGCGTACTTTTAAAGGGGAACTATTATGCAAAAATCACTTTTATAAGGGGTTTAAACACAGTTGTGAGGCAAAAAGCCATCTTCTAAAGGTAAAAAATAATTATAATTTTTTTTAATAATCACACTTTACAAAGATAGTCTGCAGAAACACTTTGATTAACATTCTCTCTCTCAGAGAGGGAAAGTCGCACCCAGTGACGATCTCTTCCGTAATTAATAAACAGCCCTGAGTGAGAAGCAGCCATCTGAGTTTTCATACCGTACGTGCTGAAGATAATGTCAGCGACTAAGAAGCATTATATGTCTTCTGAGCCACTTCTTTTGACATTTAGATTTTTTTTTTACACAGATAACGTTAGTCCTGCTTTTAATCTGCTGCTATCCTGATGTTTGTAGCCCCGCCCCCTTTTGAAAAAGAGCACAGTCTCATTTTAACTTAAATTGGCAGTCAACAAAACGGCTCAATTTGGATTAAAGACTAAAAGGGAGTTTCAAAGAGATATAAAATGTTATTTGTGGGGTATTTTGAGCTGAAACTTCACACAAAATTCTAGGGACATCAGAGACTTTTTTTACATTTTGCAAAAAATGGCATAATAGGTCCCCTTTAAAACTTATTTACCCCCTTATAATTTTCCGATGTAAAATTGATTGTGAAATCTTCTGTCAAAGTTTTATAAGAACAATGCTACATATATTTTTGGATTTTTACTTTAACATCAAAACTCTTGTTATGTATAATCTGAAAAAAGCTTATGTATCTTCGCTTTTTGATCTCCAGGATTTAAAATTCACAGCTGTATTTCCTGCATAACATAGTGTCGCCAGTGAGGCAAATATCTGAAAAGGGAAAAGAAATTGTCATTCAAATAATACAGCAACAAGTTATTTATGTAATTATAAAACGCATACAGAACTCTGTATAGCACATGTCTGTATAACTGATAATTAATTGTCAAGGAATAAAAATAATAATATAGCTATGATGACTATAGAAACAAGAGCATTGCTAAACTAATCAGAGAGGATGCTTTTCATACCGTTGATGCCACCCAGCAGATGAAGTAATAGCGCCCTCTATTGGCCACATTCAAAGATAACGTCCCCATCACAGCTGCACTTAGGTACAATACAGTGGCACTGCCGTGAAAACACATTCCCTGCAAAAAAGAAGACTTCTTGAAAAAAGCTAAAACATTTGGTGAACTTATACTATTAAACGGGTTTTACAAGAAGGTGGTGAATTACGAGGACTTTCCTGAGGGACATTTTTAGGTATAGGTTTAGGATAGGGTGATAGAAAATACAGTTTGTACAGTGATATTGGATTGGGATATTCTTTTATTCTGTAATAAATATTGCGATATGAAAACAATTTTACTAGATGAGCTGAATAACTGTTTGGAAAGAGTCTATAATTTTAGATTGATTGGGATGATTCTGTAGGGGAGTGCATAAAGTATAATAAACAATCTACAATCATAGATAAATTCAATAAAGAAAAACATAAAAATTATCTTGTTGTTTTCCGAGAAGTCAAATGTATTCAAGAATACAGTAATTGAAAAAATAATGTAAAAATTATACTGCATAGTTTTCGTTTTATAACCAATTCAATAAAATTAATTGAATTAGTTAACTTCATGTCAACTTAAACTAACCCCAACTCAACAGTCTACTTATAATCTAATGAGAATTTGTTGCCATGTAGATGCAATGTGACTTAAACTCAACAAAATGTGTTAAAGGGACCATCAAAATAAAGTGATACCATATTTTTTAAAACAGGGCATTATAGGTCTCCTTTAACCAGTAACATTGGTGACATCAGTTAAAGTTAGATATATTTGCTAGATATTGATTGTTAGAAAGCACAACTAACAAACTGCGCTTGTGATAACTCCTTTTTCAGTGCAACTTAATTCAAAATGCTTGGAATGAAGCACAAGATAATTATTTGAGTGTCTACCCCTGTGCAAAGTTTACAAGAAAGTGAAATCAGAAACATGATTAGATCGACAGTTATGGCCATCCACAGACTAATCAGGTTTGATAAACTATAATGAATCTTATTGGCATATATGCAACGATTCAATTCAGCAAAAACTTTTTAGATTATAAATAAATAAATGCAAAGTGAAAAGATGAAACAATTGAATACATTGGAAATAAAATTCAAGATGATTTAATACTTTTTAAGAGCCTTAATTTTCTCTAAATTGATTGATCAACTTTTAATACTTTTCAAGAGCCCGCAGATTAATATTTGCTTATTCTGTTAAGATCTGATACAGTTTCTTCCAAATATATTGAACAATTTCAACTATATTTTGTAAATATGTGTATTTAAATGTATCTCTGTATTTTTTAAAAATAGTAATTTATCGAAAAAAAACGACTGGTGTATTTTTTTTTTTGTGAAATCAGGACTATTCCACCAAATTTTGACATCTTAATGCTTCTAAAGTACATTTATATTTAGTCTTTTAGTAGACACTAACAAATGAAGTTAAATCTTAAATCTGTGTAGTCTCAACATGCCTAAAAAATAAATATAAAAATAAAAAAGGAAACCTTAGTATTTTGTTGCTGCCTACTATGGAAGTCAATAGTTTCCAGTTTCAAACATTCTTCAAAATATTTTCTTTTGTGTTGTCTTAAAGTTTCATAAAATCTCATAAAGGAGGAGTAAATAGTGTGCACATTTCCACTTTTGAGTGAACTATCCCTTTAACTACAAATCGTAAATATAGGGAAACAGAATTTCCTAATGGCCTCATAGCTGTGATAAACATGTATATACAGCGGGGAAAATAAGCATTTTACACGTCACCATTTTTCTCAGAAAACATATTTCTAAAGGTGCTGTTGACTTGAAATTTTCCCAGAAAGTTGGTAAAACCAAAGAAATTTATATATACAAAGAAAGCAAATGTAATTAGTTTACAAATTAAGTTATGCATAATAAAATGAAATGACGCAGGGAAAAAGTATTGAACACTAGATAGGGAGGTGTAGAAAGGCAGTGGAAGCCCAGACAGCAGCTGAAATCTCTCAGTAGTTCTTCAGCAACACTCTGCCCTTCCTCAGTGTAAATGAATATCAGCTGCTTCAGTCCAACATCTACATTAGCAGGATGATGAAGATGAAACCAAGGTGGACATTTCAGTTAGACAATAATCCAAAACACAGCCAAGGAAACTCTGAAATGCTTTCAGAGAAAGAAAATCAAGGTGTAGAATGGCCCAGCCAATCACCTGACTCGAATCCAATAGAGAAAACAAAATAAAGCTCAGATTTGATAGACGAGATCCACAGAATCATCAAGATTTGTACTGTTTTAACCAATCAGGTTAGAACACCTATACATGTGACGCAGTAAATGACGGTATGTGAGAGTATAATTGTTATTGATTGGTGATTTGTAAGCAGAGCAGCCTAGGAACTCATTGCGAGTGTTGAAGCTGGGTTCTGCGGATGAAACTGCAAACTATCTTCAGTAAACTAAAATGATGAAAACTCAGATGATGAAAAGGATAAACGTTGGTCCATGATGAGACGGATTGGAAAGCAGAAATCCGAATCCTTCAGTACACTCTGTTGAAGTCTGTGAAAAACTCACACCTGAGCAATGGATGTGACTTCATTCTCCATATAAGAGGCGTCTTTAAGCTGCCATCCTTAAAAGGGCCTTTTATATAAGGTTTAACACATTTCAGTAGTTCAGCACGTTCTGCTTGTGTCATTCCATTGTTATTACACATAACACATTTTTAGATATTTTTTGTTTTATTTTTGTTTGTGTTGTTTGGGTTTATATCAAAATCTGGCTCAATTCCATGTCAACACCTTTAGAAATTATTTATTTATATATTATGTTTAATACTTGTTTTCCCTGCGGTATAAGTATTTATTTAATCATTAATTTGTGAATTCATATCTCAGTATTCTACTTTACTCACCAGAATGTTCCAAGGGATCCAGGTTATCCTGATGTGGAGCGTGATCAGGTATAAGAGGAAGAGGATGACGGTGAGCACCCAGTAAAAGACTGACACAAACATTACCCAGCGCAGCGCAGGAACATGCAGGTACTCCGTTCCACCAATCAGAGTCCACACGAAAAGCCCAAACACCTGAGAGTGATGATGGAGCACAGACACACATAAGTGGATTATTTCTTTCACAAAGCAGCACAATGAAACTGTCAGTAAAAAAAAACAACCATAGGAAACATAATAAGTCATGGCTTCAGTTTCCAGGAAATACAATAAGACATAGGATAGGATAAACTTTATTTGTCCTCGAGAGGAGATTTGTCTTGGGCAAAAAAGGTGCTACAACATTGCTCTAAACAGACAGTAAAAATAAATAAAACAATTAAGAACAAACAGTTAAGAACATGCAGTGTTTACAGAACAAGACCGTATATAAGTATAAATTTATAAAACACAGAACCCAGTCAAGTGCTAACTTACTACAGGATCAGTGTTATTGGTAGAATTCAACAAGACAACAACTGATAAATGACATTATGTAAATATAAAATGCGTCAACGTAAAAATAAATTTCTTCTAAAACTTTGTTAGTCTAGTTTAGTTTATTTAAAATTTGACAGGGTATTGCAGCACAATTCCCTGAAATGCATCAAACACACACTCGAAACAACATTTGACTAATAAAAATACCAATATATAACATGATAAAACGATAATTAAAAAACATTAAACACTTTAAATTAAGTTATCTATACATACATTTTAGCGCACGAGGAATAAAGGAGACAATTTGTTTTACTCCTGGGCAGATTAGGGCAACTACAAAATACAGCCACAAATGTATCAAATAAAATAAAATACTGTATTTTTGTATTTTGAAAATTCTACAAAACATTTTAAAAAGAGAGCATGAAATTTCTTCGCAAACCTTCCATCGATATGCTTATTCGATCACCCGCTTTACCATTAAACTGACTAAAGTGAAGTAAACAATGTTTGATAGCAACACCTTTTCTCCACCACCTCATTCACCTACAGGGGGAAGTTGTGGCCTAATGATGACTGATTTGGACTTGTAGTTGTAACCCAATGGTTGCTGGTTCAATTCCTGATCCTGCCAGAACTAAACTCTGAAGGGCTGCAGTCCTACAGGAACTAAATTTGACACCCCTGGCCCATTTAATGCAGAAAATTTGTCAGAACATAGTACTATATGTGTTGATTATGTTTCCACCCATTGTGTGGCCAGTAAAATTGCCATCACTTTTGTGCAACGATTTGTCAACCTATTAGCAATATTAGATTTTAAAAGGGTGATAGGCCTTCTGACTTCAAGGCGCAATCCTATTTCTATGTTGTACCCATTCCCCTTTCTCTTGGCCCTTCAAACAGTGTGTGAAGGGGAAGGGCTTTAAAATTACCCCTAAGAAATGGGACAGCGCTACAGCACCTGCACACATCATCATGTCATCGTGAGCTCTTGCTTCATATGAGATCGACGACGGCGACTGCTGTTGTTATTCCACTTGCGTTATTTTTCGGTATTTATCTTCAGGAAATCACTAAAGGCATATATCATGTTATCATAATGATATAATGTGGCAATAAAATCATAATTGTACTGTGCATTTACACCCTGACCATATTCATCAATGTAAACACAAAATAAACAACATTAACATTATAGAAGACACTGTACAAGCTCATTCTCAGCCACTACACTTTTCTGACAGGGTATTTGAATGTCATCCAGTGTTAGAATGTTGTTGGACGACAATACAGAAGTGATTGTGGATTATAGAAAGCAAAATTTAGCGGTTTTTTTTTAGCATGATTGTAAAACACGAACGCAGATAAGAATGTATTAAAACATGTGCTAGTTTGTCATAAAAATTCATAATAATGACAAAAAAATACTAATTTGTGCATCTCCTGACTTCCTTGAGCAGCAATGCAGCCGTTGTGGCTGGTGTATTCTGGGAAATTTTCTTACCCCTAGTTTCCAGTGTGGTCCTGAAAAATCTCTCTTTCGATGGCTATCTAGCCCTTCCCCTTAGCCCCACTCCTTCAAGATAAAGAGAATTGGGACACCCCTTCACGTGAACGTGCAAAACGAGTGGTAAGGAGAAGGGCAAGGGGAAAGAGTTGGGATTGAGCCTAACTCTTCAATGCACAACATAAAAATATGATGTCTCAAAATAAAAATATCACACTGCAAAAAATGCTTTTCTTATTTGGATTTTTCATCTTGTTTCTAGTCCAAATATCTCACAATTCTTAAATCAAGAAGAATTTTCTAGACAAGCAAAACATAGTCTTGTTTTAAGAAATGATATGCCAAAATTAAGTGAGTTTTTCCTTAAAACTAGCAAAAAAAAATCTGCCAATGGGGCAAGCAAAATTATCTTACAGTATGTCAAAAGAAAAAACAAGATTATTTTGCTTACCCTATTGGCATATTATTGCTGAAAACAAGACAATATGTTTTGCTTGCTTAGAAAATTCTTCTTGAGTTAAGAATTTTTAGATATTTGGACTAGAAACAAGACAAAAAAATCTAAGTAAGAAAAGAATTTTTTGCAGTGCAGTTTTTGCAAATTAACTCGTAAAACGGCAGTCGAGAGTTTTTGACCTGTCTGTATAGACTGGAGTGTTGGTAAATATTTGTGTTTCACATATTGTGACATTTGGACATCTTTTGATAGACGTCTTTCATCTTCAATAATTACCTTTACAGAACACCTGCAGATTAGCTACTTGCATTTGAAACAGCCAATAAAGTATTGTGGGTATCATCAGTTGTGGGTATTGTGGGTATCATCAGTTGTGGGTATTGTGGGTATCATCAGTTGTGGGTATTGTGGGTATCATCAGTTGTGGGTATTGTGGGTATCATCAGTTGTGGGTATTGTGGGTATCATCAGACTTATTTTAATGTAGTTTGTCTTATTTTCTTGGCATCTACATCAGCAATTCATCTATTATTTCTACAGTATTATCATACTCCCAAGATTTTATTAGTTCTTATTTAACTTGAGGGGTCTCAGTTTACCCTCTTAAAAACACCAGTACACCATATTAAATTTATTATTATTATTATTATTATTATTATTATTATTATTATTATTTATAAAGGTCCTTTTTCATTCCACCTGCAGCACTGAGACTGATGATGATCTGAAGGCTCTGCATCAGGTTCTTAAGGACTGCGATTTTAATCCATTTTACACTATAGCCATTATATATACATATATATATATATATATATATATATATATATATATATATATATATATATATATATATATATATACATACATACATATATATATCCATATCTATATCCATCTCCATCCACAAATGTGGGCCCACACACGAGCTGCGCTTTCATTATGGGGAAATGGAAACAATTTCGTTGTGGAACATTTATAAATGCAACACTGGCAACCATGTTTCCAATCAATTCTTCTTCTTTTTCCTCTTGTTTCAATTACGGTTAGTAACACAACGTGGCGTCTCTCTCTGAACACTGTAACAGGTAAAAAGAGTCTTTGAAGCTATATCGTGGATATTAATGAAGTTGCATCTCATTCACAATAAAGTGCGGTGATAGGTTTGAACTAAGTCTTTTTCCATGAATTAATGCTGAAAACTCAAAGACGTCACTTTGCACCGGCCGGTACAGACAGCCAATCATCACGCTGCAATTTACACAATTATCACATGGCCGTGACGTAGTTTCAAAATTTATTTTCAAACCGGAAGGATGAATTTGCTCAAAACTATTTCTTTTTTACTTTTTAGTGAAATCCAACGTCCTAACGGTGTTTTTAGCAACTTGGGACATGTATATCAAAAAATGTGTTTTGATGTTTCATGACCCTTTAAAGGTGGAAACTCTACTAATTGCTTGTCCTGAGACAACAGGAGAGGGAGGGGAGGGAATGTTGACTTCTCTTTTGGCTCTTATTACCATATCCACAGTCGTAGCTTCATTCATTGCTCCATGCTCCATTCATGGGTCAGAAGTGACCTCTGTACCAAAATAAAAGGAAACCTACTCTGGTAAAAGCTTAAAGTCCATATATGGAGTGTCCGATTAGCTCAATTCACAGTCACTTATACGCAAAAAGGCATAAATATGCATCAAGTGCATAAAAGTTATGATCATCAACTAATATTTTAGGAGCTGTGAAAAAACACATTTTAGCAAATAAAACGAAAACAATGGCAGTCATGTGTGATAAGTAGCAGAAGCAGGGCCTATTCACCACTCCTTTTTGACACCATATTATTCTCCGGAGACTTCCCGCCCTCCCTTTCCTGTTATATGCAGCAAAGAATTTCTTGCAGTGTGTTTGATTTGACAGGAAAAATGATTCTGTGTCTGGAAGACTGAGCTGGCTGTAGATTATGTCGGGGAAAGGAACACTCGGATTTGACTCAGAGCATGTGGTGGAAGGAAGAAGAACAATACGAGCTGAAAGGAAGAGTTTGTTTCCCAGCTGTTTTGGTTGGTCCTCTTCCTCTGTTTCCTTTGTGAGCAATATCTTCACGAACAACACAAAGTCAAAAAGTTCAAATGCACATTTGTGTTTTTTTCTGTTCGCCATTACAAATGCAAGTATCTAGGATTTTTAACTTAAATAAGTTTATAATAACTTTCACTTTTACTTATGTTAAGAGAAGCTGCATTGTGGTGTTCTTTAGAAAATGAATACCACGTGACTTTTTTTGCAGGGTAAAAAGTCATATTACACTCTTAAACCCCTCTTAATCTTTAGACAAAAAGAAAGTGTGTTATGATATATTATTCTTTATTTCATTTGATTATATTATTATATTTTTGTATTTTGTAGATCGATTTAAGATTTATATTTTTAACCCACACTAATAAAATGTACATCATATGAGACATTAAAGTCGCACATATTTAACTTAAATAGAACCATTGATTATTTAGATAAAGAAGTAGCATAGTAATCGTTTACTTACGATTTCTCCGACCATCAACGCACCAGAAGCAGAGCGAATAAAGTTCCCATCATACGCTAGTTTGGAGTGTGTCAAGCCTAAACTCTCCAGATTGGAGCTTCTGCTGGTTCTGTCAGCGCTGCTGCTGTCGATGCGGGACTCGGAGTCGGCCTCCATTCTAACGGAATTACAAAAAACACCCAGTCCAAATGAGCCGAGAAGTGACCCCTTTTCCAAAATGAAAGGAAACCTTAGTCCATATACGAGATGTCCGATTCGTAAAAGAATTGTTCTTTTGAGTCGGATCTTTTCAAAGAGTCGGGTAAACAGATTCAAATAGCAATGTGAATTCATGTTTATCTCATTGTTTACAGTTGGTTTATCTGAAAGAAGCTTACCGGGTCGAGTGATTCACGTAACGCATCGCCTCGCAATCACTAATTGAATAACATAAAAAAGACAAAATGTGTTAAATGAACCGAAAACAGACGAAGTTGCCAGATCCGCGCCGGTCAGAGTCATTCACAAGTTGCGAGTTGTTAAAAAGCTTCATTGTCTGTAGTAGCCTATGGAATTATTTTCTCATGTTAAGACTCGAAAACAATAATATCAAAAAAAACGAAAATACAGAATAATTGGGCCTAATTGATAATAAAAGTTTTAACTGGCTTTTCACATTGATGTCAACTTTTTTGAGTTACATAAGTGATTATTCAAATAACATGATTTTAATAATATTTTTGCCGTTTAAATGGTCGTTTGTGCAAGGGAAATACTCTCATACGAGTAAAGAAGAGTTCCGATGCAAAAACCTCTAAGTACCGTCTGAAGTTTCCATGGAAATTTTTTTTTTCTCAGCCGCCTTTGTTTATGTTGAGAAATTTCACTTTAAAGACCAAGAAAATGACCCATCCTTTGCCATAAAAGTGATATTACGAGAGCCTGATAAAAATGATCATTTTAGACGAAGATTTTAGACGACATTTAGAGGTTTTTGCATGCGGTTGCGGCATGACGTTAACGAGAATGATTGATTATTTATTGAATTTCCCATGAATTGTATTTTATTAACATCATCTACCCCTACCCCAACCCTAAACCCCACCATCACACAAAAATTATGCTATATTGAAGTGCATATCCGCTGCTGTATCCCATTCAGACTTTACCCAGTCAGACAGCATAGTTCCATCAAAGGTGCACGAGCTCTGTCTGATGACGACACTGCTCTTTCCTGATTGGTCAGGCTCACGCGAGACTGCTCAGCTGATCTTCGCAAATTAAAAAAAAAACTATTAGTATTTTATCCCTTTTCTGAATAATGCTGTTATTTGTGTGCGTATGTGATTATAGTTTTTATGACCGTGTATATTGTTGACATTTTTAAGATCTGTCTGTGCTGTTGGGTTTTGTTTTGATATTGTATTGTCAGTTCAAGCATTTACAATTTTAGGGGGGGCTTTATAACAGTTAAGCCCTTTACATACAATTTGTGTAAAGTTTTTCTAAATAAACCCGATGAAATGTAGCCATATAGATCACAGTTTTTTTTATTATTAACATTTTAATATTATAAACCTATATATTGTACAGCAGTTACATGGAAACCTCTAAAGCGACTGTGCATCTGATAAATATAGCATCAAGGAAAACGTACACAAACATATTAATGAATTACTTTAATTAGTTAGTTTTATGAGGGCTACGATAGGCCTACCATTTTAAGCGTCAAACTATAGTTTGTCAATATAGCTATCGTAAATCGTAATGCATATACCATAGAATATAAAAACATATGCGAGTTAGATTAGGCCTATATGTTTAGGCCTATTTGTAATTGTAAAATGTGTGTAAATCTATTTGTATTTGGAAATATACGTTTTATAAATGACTAATGTCATATGCAAACATGCACATTTATTGTGTCAGTTGCATGTATCCATATTTGTATATAGGCTAATGCTATGAATACAATTCCAGCCATTTGCTAGTTTGACTTTATCAAATGATTTAAAACGATTATAGCCGCTTAATGGAAATTATTTATTTTAGTGAGTTGATTACAATCATCCTTATATACATGCTTAACTACAAAAGCGGAAATTAATACACAACATAACGTTAAATTGTTGTAGGGCCTAGCTTACTTGGGCTAATTAGGCTACATCATGAGGTAAAATAATCGTTCAAATAATACATTTATTGAAAACTACAACCGCTAGTTTTCAGTACATGTATTAAGTATTTGAACGATTTTTTAATCTCTGAGAAAAAATCATATTATTCAACATATTAATGGGCCTATATTAATTATTATTTTGTCCTGTTTTTGCTTGATGTAAGAACCCAATGCTTCCTGACGAGATGAAACAGCATCCGTTACTTGCATCACGATCGTCTTATGGTCTTTCTGTGCATGTAGTATAGCTTTTATGTCAGCCATTTAAGACAAAAGAGTATTTTTCATTAGTAAAACCAACATTAGTGACATGTAAGGCGTCCCTAATAATTCCAGAATGCCACAAGAGGGCAGCAAATCCACAGTACTGAAAGCTCTGTAACCAAATAAGCTGAAATAGTTTCTCAAAGCCCTGCAATTCCCAAAACATACAACAAAAATAAATGAATACTGAAATGTCACAGCACGATTTCTTCTTTTATTTGCAATATCTCATTTTCACACACTGTTTCGTCTCACTTTTGGATTACTGAAATATTACTCAAATAGAGCAGCAGTCAGACAGTCTTTACATAACTCCCTGGCATCGCTTTGGTACGTTTACATTCACGATGGATATAATCTCCTAAATGCACTTTTTTTTTTGTTATAATGTATATAACACTGTCACCAGAAAGCTATTATTTGATGGCTGGTAGACCCTATCCTCTCTGCCAGCTCTCTACATCAAAGGTTTGCTTTCACTTTGTTGATCTGATTTTTTATTTATGACTAAACAAACCTGAAAATGCCATGAAAGCATCTTGGCCAGCTGTGTTGCTGTACCCGACTTAATACAGCCTGTGTGACAGGCAATATCAGTGAATAAGGCTCTAGATATAGGGCTCTAGCCTCCGAATCCAAAAAATTTCAGATTTATTTTTACGTCCATTTTTAATACACCGTTCAGATTTTCAGATATCACATTTTATAATCATGGAAAGAGAGATGAGAATCAGAACTACAATTAAACAAATATATATAGCTATTTTAGTGGAAACATTTACCAAAAAAAATAAACATAAAAGGCTTAATCTTTTTTATTTAACCCTTGATATTTGTTTGTTTATCAGTAGGCATTGCATCTAATGTTATTTAATATATATAATGTTTAAAATCAGAACTACAGTAAAAAAATAGGCACAATTATATTTAGTAGAAACATTAAATGCACAAAAAGTGCTCAATCTTCTTAATTTAAACCTTGATATTTCTTTGTATATCAGTAGGCATTACATCTAATATTATTTATCATCTATAATACTTATATGTATAATGATGATTCCCTGTTGGCAATCATGCCAAAGAAATAAGATGTCCACTGCTCGGTGCCCTGCATGTGGCCTGTTCTTCTCAGCAACCTCTGTTTATTAATTGTTGTTCACAGCAGTTGCCATGTAGTCAGTCGTAAAGGTTATGCTTTCGATAAATGCACAGTTCCAGCATTTAATTAAGTCATCTTAGGAGGAGACGTGCTGTGAGACTCAGGCAGGGATAATTCTTCGGAGGCAGCCATGTTTAAGATGCATCCTTTAACACTGTGGTTTAATAGAAAAGTAAATATGTAATGGGTTAACATAAAGTAAAAACAACAAATATATGAATATATTTTCAACATTATCTACTACATTACATTATTAATTTTGTATTTATTTTTATGGTATTATATTTCCCAAAGAATTATTAATTAATGGTTAAAAACATCAAAGTCTTCGTTTGAGAGGAGTCTATAGGCGTAGTTTGTGTTTTTCGCATGTTCTCTGTATTCTGGAACCGACTTCATGGGTGTAACAAGGTCAAAAGTTCAATGTCACTTACTTGCGCTTTGTACTTTAATTGTAGCTAATGGCAAAGTCAGAATGTGCTTTAGCAGCGCTGTAAAGATCATTAATTGATCATCCTAATGTTATTCAGCTTATCTTTATAACAATATATTAACTAGTTTCCCCTCAAATTGAATATTAGTTTTAAAAAATATGATGAATGCAAGGAGAAAGGACCAGACTTGAACGTTCCCTGGGTTTATTAGTTATGCATTTGAGTAAAATGTTACAATTAGTTTTATTCTATTAAGGTCTGATAAAATTTCCTCCAAATATATGACATAATATTGTCACGTTTCCTCCAAATATGACATAATATTGTCACGTTTCTTTCAAATATGACATAATATTGTCACGTTTCCTACGAATATGACATAATATTGTCACGTTTTCTATGAATATGACAAAATATTGTCACGTTTCCTACGAATATGACATAATATTGTCACGTTTCCTCCAAATATGACGTAATATTGTCACATTTTTCCAAATATGATATAATATTGTCACATTTCCTCCAAATATAACATAATATTGTCACATTTCTCCCAAATATAACATAATATTGTCACATTTCTCCCAAATATGACATGATATTTTCACATTTCTTCCAAAAATGACATACTATTGTCACATTTCCTCCAAATATAACATAATATTGTCACATTTCTCCCAAATATGACATGATATTTTCACATTTCTTCCAAATATAACATAATATTGTCACATTTCTCCCAAATATGACATGATATTTTCACATTTCTTCCAAATATGACATAATATTGTCACGTTTCCTCCAAATGTGACATAATATTGTCACGTTTCCTTCAAATGTTACATAATATTGTCACGTTTCCTCCAAATATGACATGATATTGTCACATTTCTTCCAAATATGACATAATATTGTCACGTTTCTTCCAAATTTGACATAATATTGTCACGTTTCCTCCAAATGTGACATAATATTGTCACGTTTACTTCAAATGTTACATAATATTGTCACGTTTCCTCCAAATATGACATGATATTGTCACATTTCTCCCAAATATGACATGATATTTTCACATTTCTTCCAAATATGACATAATATTGTCACGTTTCCTCCAAATGTGACATAATATTGTCACGTTTCCTTCAAATGTTACATAATATTGTCACGTTTCCTCCAAATATGACATGATATTGTCACATTTCTTCCAAATATGACATAAT